GTAACATCAAAGCAGTACTACCTATATATTATGAAAAACGAGAGATGACACCTGATTATGGACATATTTTAACATCACGATGAGTGTCTTAGGTTGCTCTCGTCCCTGCTGAGATTCCATTTAATCCCACCCACAGGTGTTTGAAGTGGCAGGGGGAGGGGAGGACGGGGAGAATGACGACATTGTCGACGCTGACGTCACCAGAGAGACACAACCCAGTTGCTAGGCAACGATGTTGACATGACAATCAGGCAACTCTCTCCGCCTTGTATCGTGCACCCCCAAATCCATTCTCCCCTTCTTCTCTGGTGAAAGAACGATTACTTATGTTGAGTGTGTATATAAATGTGTGCTTATTTACCCTCGTCGCGCATGCGCAGCGAGGGTACTGGGGGTCGTGTAATCCTCGATCCGCACTAAAGTGTCAGTGGTCCAGAGCATTGGCTGGACAGCTCTGTTCCTCCCTTACCCACAAATCTACCACTGACCCATGTTTCTCGAAGGGCAGCGTTAGTTTCGGCATAGCACTGCGTCCGTAGACGTCTGTCTGGAGAGATGAAGGCTGGGCGTCACCTTGGGTTTTAAAAAAACTAATCTACTAACAATCCACTGGTAATACGAAAATTAATAGAGAGATGAAAGGTTGCCAATTTTTCAACCTTATATATATTTTGGCCTCAAACAGAAATAGGGCTGGCCATTTTTTTGAATGGAAATGGTGCATACATGCTGTTCTATGGCCAAGACCATCAGTGTGGTGGTGCCACACTTGTGTATGGGTTTGCACTTTAGTGCTTTTCATTTTGACTGATTTTAAAGTTGAAGTGCAATATTAATGTCAGGGATATAATGCAGTGATATATGAAAGTTCAAATTCCCTTTCTGGTGTGATATGTGAACTGATAAGTGGAGCGAGGGGACATGTTGATATGATCAGCAGTGAAGTTCGGGACGTGACTATGGGTTACAAACGAGTGCCGGAAACAGAGGGTTAATGAGTGAGATAGGTCAGTGAGTGGACGAGATCAGCAGCCTCCACTCCTCTCTCTCGGCTGGTCAAACTTGTGATTCCTTCCAATGCTTAGCTGAAGGACAATGACAACAAACAACAAATATAGTTGAACTTTCATGTAATTACGTGGAACCCCTCTAATAGGACACAAATGGGACGAATAAGTGTCCCATATTATTAGTCCTGTTAATTGCAAGAACTGTTCTTGGGAAAGAGACTGTGTCCTCACTGGAGAGGTTCAGAGAGAGGGGTTCAGAGAGAGGTTCAGAGAGAGGGGTTCAGAGAGAGAGGTTCAGAGAGAAGTTCAGAGAGAGGGGTTCATGAGAGAGGGGTTCAGAGAGAGGGGTTCAGAGGAGGGGTTCCACTGTATACTGTAATTGACGCAGTAACATTCTCACTCACCTTGACATTTCTTTGCTGCAGTAGTAGTTGGGATTTGGCAGCCCCCTGCACCTGAGAGAGGGTAGCGGGGAGGGAGGGGAGGGAGGGATAAGGGGAGCAGCAAACTCACACAAATCACAAGCCATGAACAGAGGCAGCTATGGTATGAATACGGACGAGGTGGGAGGGAGAGTGAAAGAACAGTGGATGTGTGAGAGGAATTGAGGGTCCTCGCCACGATTTGGAACTTGGATCTTGAGATTCAGAGTCTCACGTGCTGCCATTACTACAAAGACCCACTCTGACCAGGCCCTGCCTTGAGTATCAAATCCTCTATCAATCAAACCTCAGCTGTTGTTGATTTTGTGACAACACAGGCTTAGCAGACCACACCCCCAGAGAACAAAGACTTTTCTGGTGACAATATTGTGTTCTGCTGACTCAGGCTGCAGTTCACAGTTAAATGAAAACTGTAGACACTCCAACCTGACAACAGAGAACAAAGCCCACCACACACAATCGCAGAACAAATATTGCGCAGTCATTCCGTCTAATGACCACAGGGCTGCCATGATTCAGCACAACCAAGACATGTCCGTGTCTCCGACCAGCGCGATTGGAGAATAGGAATGGGGCAGCGAGATTGGAATGGGAAAAGCGGACATTGAACGATGGATAGGAAGAGGGGACTCACTTCTGACATCTCTTGATGTCTTAGCGCTTGTCTCTCCCTCCCCACAGCAGAGCACCGTGGGCAGCTTTTTTCTCCTGCCCTCCTCTCTCCCCACCACCTCTACCTTCGCTGCTTCTCGACGTCACCAACAGCCCCAGCCGTCTTGGTCGGACGTCTCCGTAGCACACATGTCTCCACACTGCCCAATACACACGATGTCGGTCGGGGAGGCGCCAGAGCTGTTGCAGCTGGCGGGACCTTCCTTCATCTCCCCCTTCTACTCCCAGCTTCACGCGACTCAGACAACTGTCACTGCCTGCAGCTGCCTCTCTTCTGTCAGCCTCTCCTTCAAACTCTGTCTACTTCATTTACTTTCTCTTCCACTTCCCTGCGAACTGTTCATCAACATCTCCTCTTCTTCCTTTTCTCTTTGTTTTTGTCTCTCTCTCAGCTTTGCTCCGTCAAATTTTTTCTTCTTCAAGTCCGCTTCTTTCACCTACCTTTTTTCATATCTCTTCTTGTTCCATGTTGGCATCTGTTTGTTCAACATGTGTGTCTTTCTTTCTGCAAATTTTTGGTCTCCTTACCTTCTTTCACGTTTTCGTTTTCGCAGTCATTTTTTATGTCGTTATTAACCTCATTTCCTCCTCGCCAGCAGAGTGTGCCTAATCACGCCCTCTATAATGTCCTCGTCTTCGTTCGCAGTTCAGTCGTTAAACGTTTAGTTTCCAGTTTTCTCTTCTCTTCGCCTCCTCCTCCTACTCCCTCCTCCTAACACTCCCTCTCCTCTCAGCCCTTCCCCACACCTGGCCTCACATATGTGCTCTCTGCGCTCTTTGAGGAAGTGAGGATGTGTTTGGCTTATCCAGAGTACTTACCTCGCCAACGGTGTGGGAAAGAATATGACAACCTGCACATTTAAGACTGCGTTATAGAGACAAACCATGTTTCGCAGAATGGACGAAAATAGACTTCTCAAGCTTCAATGAGACAATACGGTTACCCACCACCCGTTGCCTGACATCACACACCAGAGGGAGTTTGGTGGGCGGAGTCTACTAACGACTTCAGAGGTCCTCGTTGCAGCCTGATACTAGTGTCTCATGTCTCGGTCTCCTGGGCAACACAGAGAGGACAAGAGAACGTGAGAATGAATACTGGAACTAATTGCCTATGGTACCAAAAATGAAGTGGAGCGATAGTGTGATATTGAGATATGGCAACATGTGTGCATTTTAAAGGAAATTGTACGGGAGTGAAATGAAGGTGTGTCGGTTAGACCACTCCCTTTTTCAATGCAACGGCCAGAAACACGATGTGATAGTATTGTGCAACGTTTGTGCAATAGAAAGAGGGACAGAGGTGAACTGACTTTGTGAACAGACGCTAGGATTCTTCCTCAAGTTTTCGTCGGAAGGAATGGTTTTCCGCAGTCAGCCAGCGACGGAGGCAAGCACTGCCGCACACCGCGAACTTCACATACACTGGCAGTCCGCACAGTACCTGGTGTGTGAGAAGAGAGGATAGAGCGGGGAGGGGAAGAGAGGATGAAGGGAGGGAAGAGCGATAGAGGGGAGAGAGAGATAGAGGAGCGAATGGTCGAGGGATCTCGCGGAGATAGGAGGGGAGAGGATAGAGCAGGGGAGGGGAATGGGGTAAAGGAAGAAAGAGAAGACAAAGGGAGAGAGAGAAGTTCCATAAAACAAGAGAGACAGTTGGTCCACTGCAGGCGAGATGGTGGCTTACCTTCATGAATGTCCTCTTGTTGGTTTGAGGACCAAACAGTTGTCTGAATACTTCTCCTCGTCTCCTTCATGCAATGGACTTGGGCTACACAACAACAAAAACATCCAGAAAGTTACGGGCGAAATATGGGGGTAGATACGAAAAGGTTGGAGTTTGCAGTACAGTAGGCACCACAAGCATACCCTAACACAGCAGTACCACCCGCACACACACACACTTCCAAACAGAAACACTGTCATTTAGTTTAAAAGACAGGGCCCCCCGTCAGCCCCTCTCTCACCATAGTTGGCCTTCTCCAGGAGGAGAATGCAGTTCGGTTCTGAGCCACAATCACACAGTCCATGAGAAGTGCCTTGGCAGCAGTGAACCCGACGACTCACAAACTGCTCCCTGATGTATTCCCCACCATCTCGTCAATATACTCCCTAGCTTCCTCTCTCGCTGTCAGCCAATATTATTGAGGCATCAACTTACATACTCATTGTGGCTTTGTGTCAGAGTACAAGCGAACATCCCTCTCCTTTTCTTTCCCAAGAACTGCTCTTGCATGCAAAAGGACACCTAACTAATGTGGACTAATGTGGACGCTTTCCATTCAGCTCCAGTGATGTGTGGTTAATGGATCCATCTAGTGGAACACCACACATACAGTACCTCTCATTGTGTAGTGTTCAGAGTGGAACTCTTCTAAAACACATTTCTTTTCGCATACATTTAACTGCACGACATTAACCCTATAAGGACACCTCACTATAAACAATGGACATTCTTCTGCCACAATGGTGTCCCTATTAGAGGGGTTCCATCTGTACGTAGTGTATATATGAAACTTGCCGTACATGGGAAATCTTTCATGATCCATGTTCCACAGAAAGTAGTCAAACCAACTGCACTGTGACACAGAGAGACCAGCAAATTTGCAAGACTCTGGAGCTTTTGACTATGCGAGGGTTGGGTGGGGCTGAGTCCATCGATACCGCCTCAGAGGGGCCAGAGGGGATGAAGAGATCACCCTGATTTAGAGTGTTGTGACGTGATCAGCCAGCTCGCGACCTGCGCGCACGCGATAGGCAGTGTGTGGTTATAAGACTCATTGCATGACCCTGAAACCATGTAGAAAACGCTGCAACCGCTTCCAATACAGCACGGGACCCTCCCTTGAAGCGGCCTCGACGTTTCAGAACACACTACCAAACCGATTTTCTTGAAAGTCTATGGTACTTTCACACACGCCTGTCCTGCGCGCGCACAACGTACTTACACGTACACGCAGACGCACCTGTCGTGCCACATGCGTTTGAAGGCGCCGGCGTGGGAGCGAAAGAAATCGAACTCGTAGGGAGAGATGTCCTGTTGAAACACCGAAGTCCTCTCTCGGTACCACACACGCCGAATGATCTGCTCACAATACGCACCGACAAACCGCTCGAGTAACTCTCTCGTCTTTCCGACACTGGCGCACGCCGCGTATGAGAGAGTGCTGACTAGCCACAACAAACTTGCGCATGCGCATTGAATCTTGATAAAAGTCAGGGATGAGATCGAGGAGGCGTGGCTACTGTGTAAGCGGCTGTATCTGGAGAGTTATTCTCTGCTGGTTGTCAAGACCCTCCTTCACCTTTCCTCCAGTGACCGTCAGCCCTCCAGCCAATCGACATAGTCTGCAGTGAAAATATATGGAGTGAAGAAAAAGGGCGAGTAGGGTGGTACGTACAGTGTGTCATCATGAAACACAGGGTGCAAATATTTGAGCGGAAAAGGTTATTTTATAAGTACCTTATAAGTATATGTGACACCCCACATTTTTATTGACACCAACATGAAATTCATTAAATGGGACCTAAGCATACTGAGTGGAATATCCAGCTGGCCCACGATGTGCTGTAGAGTGTTTGGCGACAGTTGCGGAGAACACTGTCGGGCTTCAAAGTTATCAAAAACAACAACAAGGGGTGTGGTTTGGGGACTGGCCCCATCATCACTTCTGTCTTCCTGTGACATGTAATCACGCGCATCAATGCAACGCAAGGCAAGAGACATATAATACAAAAAAATGGGAATGTGTGAGTTGTGAAGGCTGTGATGAGTGTAGTTGTACCTGTGAAGGTGTTGAGGGGGAGGATGTGAGGGGTGTGGTCTGTGGGAAAAGCCGAGGCCCACAACATTAGTCACAGTGGGCGGGGCTGACACCGTGTCACAATGGCGTTCTCCTCGCATCCAACTACATGACATGTGGATTGAAAAATTTTCATGTACATTCATGACAAAGTGAGCCTACTGGTTGGTTTTATTAAACACCACTATTTTTACCTTTACACCCCCCCCCCCCCTTACCCCCCCCCCCACCTTTAACCCCTTTTTACCTTTACCAAACCAACTACCCCCCCCCCCCCTAACCCCCCCTTTTACCCCTAAAACATACCCCAACCCCCCAAACCCCTACCCTAACCCCACTACTCTCTAACCCCCCACCAAAAATTTTTAAAACCTTACCCCAAACCTACCCCCCTTAACCCCCTTGTACCTTTACCCCCCCAATAACTTACCCTTAAACTTAAACAAACCCCCTCTCTAAACCCACCCTACTACCCCCCTACCCCCCTACTAACCACCACATACCCCATAACTTTACCCACCCAACCTACCACAACCAACTTACCCCTACCCCCCCACCCCCCTACCTTTATAAACCCACCCCCCATGTTAAAACTCACCCAACAAACTTACCTACTTAACCCCCCCCCCCCCCCCCCCTTACCACCCCCCTAACTTTAACAACAACCAACCCCCACAACCCTAACCCCGTTATCCTTTTAAAACCCCCCCCCCAACCCCCCCCTACTAACACCCCTTTTAAAACCCCCTCCAACTAACTTTTACCCAAAACATAAAAAATTTAACCCATATTTAAACTTAACTACCTTACACCTATAACATCCCCATATTTTAACATTTAACTACCATTGATACCCCTTTAACCCCTACCCCCCCCCTTACCCCCCCTTTTCCCCCCTACCCTTAACTTTACCCCAAACCAATTTTAATACAACCCCCCCACGTACCCCCCACCATTTTACACACATTTTACCCTACCCACCATTTTACTTTAACCCCACACACACTTACCTAAACCTACCCCCCTTTTAATTTACCCCCCATAACCTTTACTTACCTTTTAAAAACCATTTTACCCCCCCCTACTATAATTTACCCCCCCCCTTTACCCATACCCCTAAACCTTAAACCCCTACCCAACCCCATATACCCCTACCTACACCCCCACCACCAATGTACCTTACCACTCAAACTCAAACCCCCACTAAAATTTTACCACCCCACTACACCCCTAAAAACCCCCCCCCCCCCCCCCCCAACCCCCCCCCACCCCCCCCTACCCTATACCCCCACCCCCTGTATTTAAACCCACCCCCCTTAACCAAACCCCTACCCACCAACCATACTTTACCCATACCAGACCCCCCCCACCTTACCCCCCCTTACTTTTACCAATTTAACCCCCACACACCCCCCCCCCTACCCTCCCCCCTAAAATTTAACCCTATTACACACCAACAATACACCTAAACCCCACACACCACCCCCCCCACCCTAACCACCCCACCCCCCCCACAAACCCCCCCTTACCCCCCCCACCCATATATATTTGGTAATATCAAAAATGCAGGTAAAACCTGTGGAATTTTTACACTTCGCATTTTGCATAATGTGTTGAGTTTGCAGAAGCGCTGCAGTCTGATCTGGTGAACATATTAGGAAGATCCGTACTCTGATGTGGGTTTGAAGTAGGGTGTGAGGAGGGGAAGATCGTGACGATTGGTGACGATGGGAAGAGGGGGCGGGTCTCTCCGCGGGCCCTCAGATCTCCCCATGTCCAGAGAATCAAAGTTTGTCCTCCACACCAGAACCTGGGGACACCACACATGTTCACATGTCAGGTCCTGCTACTGAGCCTATGCTGCATCACACATTAATGCAGTGTACACATATTAAACATGTAGTATGAAGCCCCAATACTTGACGAAGTTGAAAGGTTAGAGCGACAGACAAATGTTGGAGCGAGATAGGAGGAGAGATGAAATGTTGGAGCGAGATGGGAGGAAAGATGAAATGTTGGAGCGAGATGGGAGGAAAGATGAAATGTTGGAGCGAGATGGGAGGAAAGATGAAATGTTGGAGCGAGATGGGAGGAAAGATGAAATGTTGGAGCGAGATAGGGAGGAAAGATGAAATGTTGGAGGAGATAGTGGGGCAAGATTAAATGTTGGAGCGAGCAGCAAAGATGAAATGTTGGAGCGAGATAGGAGGAAAGATGAAATGTTGGAGCGAGATAGGGGGCAAAGATGAAATGTTGGAGCGAGATAGGAGGAAAGATGAAATGTTGGAGCGAGATGGGAGGAGAGATGAAATGTTGGAGCGAGATGGAGGAGATGAATGTTGAGCGAATGAAAGATGAAATGTTGGAGCGAGATAGGGGGCAAAGAATGAATGTTGGAAGCGAGATAGGGGCAAAGATGAAATGTTGGAGCGAGATTGGAGAAAGATGAAATGTTGGAGCGAGAACATATAGGGGGCAAGATGAAATGTTGGAGCGAGATAGCTCGGAAAGCATGAATGTTATGCGATCGAGATAGCAAGATGAAATAGTTAGCGGGCGAGATAGGGAGAGAGATGACATGTTTGAGCGAGATAGCAAAGATGAAATGTTGGAGCGAGATAGGGGCAAAGATTAAATGTTGGGCGATAGAGAAGGAAAGATACAATGTTGAGCAGATAGGCAAAGAAATGAATGTTGGAGCAGAATACAGGGGCAAAGATGAAAATTTGCAGAAACCGAGAAGGGGGCAAAAGATGAAATGTTGGAGCTCAGATAGCAGCAAGATAAAATGTTGAGCGAATAGGGGGCAAAAATGAAATGTGAGCCGAGATAGTATGAAAGATGAATGTTGAAGCGAGATAGGGGGCAAAGATGAATGAAAGTGTAAGATAGTGGGAGGTACATGAGTGACACATATACATATAGGAGAGGGGGGAGAGGGAGGGGGGACCTCGTTCGTCACTTCCAACAGAAGAGAAGAATTCCACAGAAGGTGAGAAGTCGACGCCCAGAAACCCAGCCTGTGTCGTGGAAGAGTGTAGTATGTATGGTCTTCCCTCCACCAGGTCAAATATATGAGGTGGTGGAGTGGATGTGAGATAAGAAACAACTACGACGCGATCAGTCCGTCACACAAACAATTTCACATAAAAAAACGTTTAAGATGTCTCAAAAAATCCAAAGGTCTTTCCCCAAAAATATTACACTACATACAATGCTGTAATTTGTGAGAAAACCACGTTTTTCAAATGTAAAAAAGTTGAACTGGGTGTCTAATGGTCTTGCAGACTAATAGTGTGGTTTGAGACTTGTGTGTTGGTACAAGTTATAACCGACAGCTTTGTTGTCTCTGTGGTCCTCATGTTGTTGTTGTACGTTTACCTGAAGTCATGTCAGCTGAGGCCGAAGACAACAGAAAGTTTACCGGAGGCGACTAAAAAAAAGGTCAAATCGTTGACGGGACCAGTGTGGCTCTGGTAGTGCTGCATAGCTTGTTGACACGAAACCCAATCTCCAGATAAGAGGAGCATTCCCATAAGGAGCATCATACTACGACAATGTACAAACTCTTGTTAAAGACACACAAGGCAGTTTCAATGTATGGGTGTGACCGTGTCTATATGATGGGTCAATGTTTGAATTTGAAAATAAAGTGTTGTCTAGTATACGCAACAGCAGAATGTTACTTATTTATACATGACTCGATAAGAAGAATGTGCGTATCTATGTAATACACCTTTACAATGTTACAGAAGTACCAACTCACAAACATACAGTTACCATCGGGATTAAAGGATTACAGACACTTGACAAACACACTGTGAAAGATGGGAGATGAATAAGTCGGTAAAACAAAACAGCAAGAAGGGAAGGAGCACAGAGGTAAATAACCACACAAAATGGCGAAATAAACGAAGACTTAGGGCGAGAGAGAGGGGAGGGGAGAGAGAGTATAGAGAGAGACGAGGGAGCGCAGCGAGTAAAGAGGCCACCCGCCATGTTCCTGGTAGTGTGGACGTTCTCCTTGGAGTCTCGTGCTGTCGTCCCAGTCCGAACACCGTTCTTAGTCGTCTCTCCACTCCGGACACATGCCCGGTCGACCATCGGGGAGAACCATGGCGCGCTCCTACGACACCCAGTACTCTTGTACCACTTAGAGTAAAACTGAAACTGCGATTGAGTTGCCCCGTGACGTATGTACCGCGTACGCAACACGTCCAGCACTGTTTTATTTTGGAGAGCAGAGGAGACGGAGACACGTGAGGTTGTCACAAGCCCACATAAAACAGGGTTGTGGAAAAAGGACCCATCTTATCTACTAGGAGTATTGCTATATATATGGTTTCTGACATCACCACAAGGTAAACACAGAATCAAACATTGACCAATCACTAACTTTGCGGCTCATCTGATGGATAGTGACTAGCATTGCGGACGTGCAAGCGAGAGAGAGAGAAGAGTCAGGACGCCACAGGACCTTGATAGTCTGTCCGCTCAGAGCGTGAGAAGCGAGTGGGCGTCACTGCAAAATGGACACTTCTGATGACGCCGTGTGAGCCCTATGAACTGTCGATTCCTTTACTGTATGTGGAGGAGAGGTATGTAGGGAAGAAGAACAAGTTTGGAGACAAGAGATAGAGGGAAAAAAGACGAAGGTTTGGAGCAAATAGAGGGGAAAAGGACGAAAGGTTTGCGAGGCAAGATAGAGGTACAGCTACGAAGGCCCTCCCCCCTTTGTGAGCAAGATAGAGGGAAAGACGAAGGTTTGGAGACAAGATAGAGGGCAAGACGAACCAGTTGGGAGCAAGATAGTTGCGAGACGACCCAGGTTTGAGACAGACCCTTTAGAGGAAAGACGCTAAAGGTTTGGAGCAGACCCGTAGAGGGAAAGACGAAGTTGTGGCAGCAAGATCGAGTGAAGAGCGAAGGTTTGCTTTCGGACGCAAGATTTATGATGTGGAAAGACGAAAGTTTGGAGCAAGATAGAGGGAAAAACAACAATGTTGAGAGGAAGTGAAGAGAGAAAGTGTTGGAGTTGTAGGAACGTACACACGTATCCACAGTCGAACAGTCTTGTCTGCTGAGGCAGAGGGCCACTCAGCTGACCAGATGGAGAGAAATGGACTGGACACGACAGAATTGACATCCTGGACAGATAGAGATCAAAGTTTGTTGCTCTCGTCATATACGATGGTTGTACATATTTCACTGATGTGAAGGCCAGCGCTACACGAAACCTGAATGCACCTATCAACCAACGTCCAGTAGACACCGTTACCTCTGTGCCCGACAAAGCGATAAGCCTGCCTGAGCTCTGATAAGTGCCACAGAAACATCAGACACGAGTCCATAGAGCCTGTGTCGCTGTGAGGAAATATCTTGATATTCTTCCGCCCCTCTCTCACATGTTTTTCAACCTACCAGCTGCTTCATAGTTAGGGTTGACGAGACGACACGTGACTGCGTCTCTGCTCGCCCGTGAAGTGACCTCGAAGGCGTCGGATCCTCCTGCCAAGGAAAGAGGTAACCTTGTTCTAAATATCGCGACAAATCGAACGCTGCGAAACTGTAGGCCCGTTTACGGCGCGCTCTGAAGACTCACACCATCACGACTATGGCCATAGCCGCCTCTCTCTTACCTCCAGTCTCTCCAGATGAGTGCAGGACACGCCTGACTTCAGTTCAAACTTCCCGCCTCATCTTTAGTCGCAAAGTGGGCGGAGATATCCGGAGATCACGTCTGTTCAACAGATGTCTCTTGCCGAAAAGGACCGCAACCTGGTGCAGATCTCACTCGCACGGGAACAGCATGCACACACTGACGCCAGCTTCTGGGCCGACAAGGACCCTCTCTCTTTCCTGCGGAGATGCGCCGATCTCGCCACGCGTCTAGCTTCCCTCTTGCACGCCGACGGGCAGCACCACGCCGAGCTGTGCACGCCCTCCATCCTCCGCACCTTCCTCTCGCAGTACCGGCTCCGCTACCTTGCCTCCAAGTGCTAGTCCCCCTCCAGGAGTCGAGGAGGCACTGCCTCTTCTGAAAACACCGGACGAGGAGGAGAAGATGAAGATGCAGAAACTTTCTTACTCGGAGCACTATTCACATTTGGGTGACGTTACAGCGGCTTCGCTCAGTGCTACAGACGGAGCTCACGAGGGGCCTGGGGAGCCTTACAGGTAGTAGCCGTCTCTCCTCTGTCCTCAAAACTAAACAGTATCTTCTTTATCTATCAGTATCTTCTTCTTTTATCTTCTTTTTTTCTTTCTTCTATCTTCTTTTGACTGGGTGATGGTTTCAAACTGGTCCGTAATTGCACACTAGTATAATGCTCTTTTTTTCTTTTCCCTTACAGGATGCAGTGTGTGTGTGTGCAAGAGAAGCGTTGCGGACGAGACACGTCTACTGCAGTGAAGCTCTAGACTGGCTCTGCGATCACCACGCACTGAGCGGAGACGCCGAGAGCCCTTCTCTCCCTCGAGCTACCATTCAAGAAACAGTGCGCGACGAGGAGGAGCGGATGCTGCCGAGTTCTCGTACATGGCAAAACTGAGCACAACAAATCTACCGATGTCCGCCATGCCACTCTGCGTCAAAGACGCCCAATCTGAAACCTCTGGGGCGTCGCGAAAACTCTGACGTAGTTTGGAGCAAAAACACGCTCATCGCTTTTCAAGAGCAGAATATCCACGGCGTGCTACGAGCTGACGGCGCGGGAACTTACTGCAGAAGACCCTTCCATCCCCGTCGCTGCTCCGCTACACAGTCCTGTGGTGTGTGGAGATGAATGAAGAAACAGGCACAGTAGCTTTTTCCCTCGTGGCACAAACTAGTCGTAAACTTTCCCCGTGTGCTCTCTTGCTTGTTCACGGGTCAGCTGTGCTACTACTCACCTTACAGAACCACCAGAACGCGGAGAGTGTACCTCACACGGGCTCTGATCTCGACGGAACTTTGCGCACACCGCACACCTCGCGTTTGGCGTGTCGTTGTCGACCGCAGGGCGAGCACGATCAGGCGATTTCGGCCATTCTCCATCAAGGCGCGAGAACCATGGAGAGGAATGCCGCGCGTCCTGTTCCTGCACCTCGGTCGGGAGTATTACTGTCACAGGTCGACTGAGACTACAGCCGTAAATTCATGAAAATGCTCATCGATCTCGATCTCCCCTCTGACCTCGTCTCTACAATAGACGTCGGGTGTATGTCTTGCATGACGCAGGGAGCAAAGGAAGGGCGGCACGTATTTACTTTTTACTTCAAGCACTCGCCTACCTCATGTGGCTGACCCTCACATGACGCTAGAGATGGGGAACCGGTCCGTACAACAATTTAGAAGTGCCACGTGTACGTCAAGCTGGCAGCTGTGGACGTATCACGCTCGAGATGCACCATCAGAGCGCTCAGCTCAGCTCGCCAAAAGAGCCAACACTACGCTCACATCCATTGCATTTGTCCATCTTATCTCAAAGGCGATTGCGAAACTGCATCGACTATTGCAGCCGCAGACCTCTATCAAGTGAGGAGAGAGATCCGTTCACGATCGAAGTGTTGCTGTCTGCGAGCGAGGAGCGGGGTGTTTGTGTCACTCCTCTGGTCTGGGCTCTGTGTCTGGAACGAAAGTATGGATCTCTGCACGGAGAATTTTGTGAGATTCTGGAATGTGGGCAGCAGCAGAGGACTAGAGAGAAATGCCAGACTACATCGCTATATTATAGACTCTCGACTTCCGCTCTGATTTGTACGAAATGTGATATCATGTCAGACAAACATCAAATCCAATAAAATCGTCATTCTCCTAAACACAAAGCTCATACTGTACGTTTTTGAAAAGCTCACAGACCCACACACAAACATGCATTAAACGTGATTTGAGATGATGATACATAATTAATTATACACAAAAGCAATTAACATGGTAACATTGCGATAGTGTGCTTATGTGGCCAACACAACCACTAGGTATGGGAGGGAAGGGAGTGGGGGGCACATAAAAAAATTTTGGACCAAGATGGATGAGAGAAGAGATGAAGAGATGGAGAAAGAAGTAAGAGACAAACACATGAAGAGAGAGAGAGAGAGAGAGAGAGTAGTGAGTGAGTCACAAATAGTAAGAACCAGAAAGGAGAAGAGGAAGTAAGGATTTAAGGATTTCCTATATACATCAATCCCACTCTTCATCATCATCAACGTCATCAAACTCTTCCTCCGAATCGGAGTACTGCACGTTCTTGAACTTGTTGGTGATGGCTCTGTTGAGGGTCCCCTCCAACCCTCCCCCAACCTCCGGAACTGTCTTCATCTGCTCCTGGTTGTTGACCTCTACTTTCCTCAGTCGCTGAGCCCCCGCCAGGAGATCGTTGGCGTTGAATGGGCGACTGCCCGATTCGGTCGCCTCAGAGTGACTACGCGTGTCACGTGATCGTGGAGTCATTGGAGAGGGAGGTGGGGGAATCCCCAGAGGTGGGGGCGGAGGAGGACCGCCTACTGCAGGCGGGGGAGGTGGGACGGGTGCAGTGGGTGTGGCAGTGGGCGGAGTGTGGAAGGGTGAAAAGGGCGGAGAAGATGCGATCTTGGGAGCAGCGGGAAGAGTTTCCTTCTCAGGGAGAGGGGGAGGGGCCCAAACGCTCGACGTCTCCTTTTCCGGAAGAGGGGGAGGCGGACCCCTCTCCCTGGTGGGCTCCGCCTCAGCTGAACTGGCTCCGCCTCCTTGTTGGGAAGTGGCGGAGGAGCAGTTTTCCTCTTTGGTTTAAATGCTGGAGCATCTTCATACTCCATCACCTTGGCTCGGGGCTTTCTGGCGATGCCAGCTTCGACCGGCTGCTGGTGCTGAGGTAGGATGTGTTTGGGAGACGGAGCAGGGGAGGGGTGGTGGGGAGGAACAGCAGGCTGACTTTCCTTGACCGGGAGTGGGGGAGGAACAGGCTTTCTCTCCTCTTCCTCTTTCAGGGGTAACGGAGGTAGCTCGCGCTGCGACGCGATCTGAGAACGGACGGATGTTGATTATATTCGTCTGCTGGTGTCGGGAGCGGGGGTCTCCCTCTCGTTGCCGCACAAACGGAGGCGTGTCGACGAGACCTGTTAGTCGGAGGAAGTGTGGGAGGTCCTTCTGAGCTGGCAGTATTGTGAGGAGACTCGACTTGTCCCGGGAGAACTGCGGGCGGCCTGTCCCCTCCTTGCAAGGGGTGAAAACCGTTTGCCATACTCTGCTCTGTCGTTTTCTCCAGCAAGGAAGGAAGAGGCACCCCTTTCTTTTTGACCGACTGCGGGCGTGCGCTTCCTGAAGGCATAGTCTGCCGTTTTTTTATCACGCTGGGGGAGGGGTTTGCAGGTTCTGGCTCAACTTCCTCATGTCCGGGTAACGAGGGGAGTGGCCGTTGTTGTATACGCTTCGTCTGCTCCGCTATCTGTGGCTGGGGGTGTGGTTTGGGCGTGGTGGGCGGTGCCATGGGTACCTCCCAAGTGCTGGCTCCGGTCTCAGGGTTGTAGTAGAAGTTTCTCTGGTACTGGTCGTTGTAGAACTGTTGCCAGGGGTGAGGGAGAGCGCCAGGCGAGGCCACACCCACTGGACAGAGGTGAAAGGAGGGAGAGAGAAGAAAAAGATGAAAACACCAGAGTTTAGAACAACAAGCGTCACCTACTACACATACACATGCACAGAACAAAACACAAGTTACAAGGAGCACTGTAGACAGATTATTTTCACTTTTGGAGAAATGCAACATACACAACACGCGAGAAAAATATTTGGAGAAATGCAATGAAAAAATCTGTGTCAATATTGTGAAGCAGGCAAGACTTTTGGACATAATTATAATAGACACTAGTGTACTAACCTTGAGGTTGCTGCTGAACCTCGGACTGAGCTGCCATCTCTTTAGCTGTGGCCTCCAGTTGAGGGTCGACCGGTATGGGGTTCATCAGCAGAATGGTCTGATCCGCCCTCTGCTTGCTACGGATGGGGTTGGAATAGTAGTGAACTATCAACGCATGAACTGTCGGGAATTTGTTCTTCTGTGCAATGGAGTACTGCCCTCCTTTCTCGCTCAGTTTGAAATTCAGGATCTTGCCGCCGTGGCTGGGGTGGTAAGGGAGTGTGGTTAGTCATGTGATCTGGAGCTGAGGTCATGTGATTCTCACCTGACAGTGAGCGTGAGCTGATTGTCGGTGGACGAGGGTCGAAGAAGGAACCAGCCGTCTTGTGCGATGTACGGCTGCATCGCCATCTTCAGCTAATTTTAGTAACAGAGGTTGTGTAATGATAGCAACAAAGATGATGTAATCTTTCACCAAGAGCTGTTTTTGCCTTGGTGTGCTCTAATTAGAGTGCAAGCGCTCAGCACGTTCACGGGTGCTTTCGATTTGGCCCCTAATATTCCAAATTGCCAATTATAAAACACATTATGGACACTTTCTTCTGTCTATTGGCCTCAAGGTTAGAATATAGAAAATGGGCTAAAAACACACTCACCAGTGGCTTGATAAGGTTCCGATGGAGGCCTGGGACCTCCTGGCTCTGTGGGGCATGGCTCTTGTGCGTGGGGGTGTGGTTTTTACCCGAGGGGCGTGGTTTCTTGGGTACAGGTGCGGGGACGGGTGTGGGTTGGACGAGGGCGGGGCCAGGGGCCGAGGGGAGGGGCCTGTTTCTAAACTTTCTACCAGTAGACTTTGATTGGGGGAGGGAGGCAGGAGGGCCCTGTGTATCTGCAAAAACAAAGACATATTTTTGTCTAGTACGTAATACATGTATACACTAGGGGACCAGATGTTACTATTAGTAGTAAAGTAAACAAAAGCCACAGGAATGCACCACTTGCTCGGCACCTGACACCCATGTGTCCCACGACACAGGGTCGTGATCTGCTATTGTTGAAAGCTAAATTAAAGGACACCCGTTCCTCCATTAAGGGGGAAGCCATAGAGAGGACACGTCACAAAGAAGGAACCGGCTGTCTTGTGTTAGCTACGGCAGCATCGTGTGGGCCCAAGAACTACAGGTGTAGGTAAAGGCAAACAAACCGTGCTTTTCCATGACGACGTAGCAGTCGTCTGAGCCGTTCTGGGTGGGAGGCTGTCCTCCAACCGGTGTGACAAGTCTGGTACCAGTCGCCTCGTTGAGGTTGTTCTTGGAGTAGTAGGAGATGAGGTCTTGCATGGTGTTGAACTGGACCGTCTGGTTGACGTAGTAGGTCCTACTGCGGCGGTCCATAGACACTCTGTAGTTGAGGACTTTTGAATCATGTCTGGTGGAGGAGAGGGGAGGTGGGGAGGGTGGAGAGAGGGAGAAGAGAGGGAAGGGATGGAGAAGGAGAACAGAAGGAGAGAAGGAGAGAGGAAGAAGGAGAAGGAGAAGGAGAAGAGAAGAAGGAGAGAGGAAGAAGGAGAGAGGACGAAGGAAGCAGAGAAGACAAATACAGTGGGGTGAAGGAGGGAGGACAAGAGAAGGAGAGGGAGGAAGAAAGCAGAGGGTTTGAGACAAGGTGTCAGAGAGTCAGAGAAGAAAGGGCAGGGAAGACAGTGAGCAGTAAGGGACATCGCGCCACAACTGAAAATGTAAACATGTTGTTCTCTGTGCGTGAATAACATTACATACAACAGTAGCCAGGTTACCAAACAGTGATGCAACAGCAGACAGACAGTATTGGTATACACTCTAATGGAACACACTGCACCGGGAGGCCACATTACACACACACACACAGTGTGGCCATGCCATGCTTGTCCTGGCTTCTCGGTGACGTGTAATGTGGCAAATATTCTTCCTCGTTCTATAAACTTGAACTTCTAGTAAATGTTTCGAGAACGACAAACACACTGCAAACTGCAAATGTTACTTACGAAGCCAAAACTGAACTAAAAACTGGAATGTTATCTATATGTGATTGCATACGTCGGAATACGAACCCAATTCACCACTTATATACATCAAACACTGTGTGTTCGAATCAACCATCACTTTTTGTAAGGTCGCCAAATTTAACAATTAGCTATAAAGAGCTTGTCTGGCTGTTTTAACGGCAAAATCGATGGTGCATTGCTGAGCACCACTGTATATAGCTACTATTTGATACACACACACACACAAGGTGATGGATGGTCTTACGTGACGCATATGGTGCAGAGTACCGCTCCTTGCTTGTCCCCACTCGGTCTCAACAGGTAAAACCCGTTTCTGTTTGAATGTGGAGTTATCAGCTCTCGAGCCTGCAGGACACCAAAGAATTACAAATTCAACTTCCTTCTCTCTTCTCCTCTCTCTTACTCACCTTTTCTTTGCTGACATTGTAGTATCCAGGGACACTCTTCAGTTCAGCTGGAGATTGGAACAGAGCAGGACACACATTATGCCAACCAACACCACACGAATCATTAGTCGGCAATTGGGTCAGAAATGCAAAGAACTCGATCAATTTCGGTGGGACAAATGATGGGACTCAGAGCATTTTCAGTAATATAGAACGCCGCCCTCTAAGGAACGAGGCCATCTCTCTAATAAGGATATCTTTCCCTATCTCCAAGAAAAGTTTCTAACACCTGAAATAAGGACACCTCACTAATATGGACACTTTCTTCTGTCCCATTGGTGTCTGTATTAGAGAGGTTCCACTGTATAATGCTCAGGACACCTCACTAATATGGACACTTTCTTCTGTCCCATTGGTGTCTGTATTAGAGAGGCTCCACTGTAGTATATCTCACACACTCTCTAAAGATGGTAAATAGTAGAGTGTGTCCAACTTTTCACCGTTTCTCTTTCTGTTGTTTACAAGAGTTTTACATTATCTCCATGGTTACTAGTTGCATTGCAACCACCTCCAGCCAAACGAGAGAGGTGGGAAGAGAGGATGACAGGGACAGAAGCACCCCAACATGGCTAACTATATTCAGAGCCTTAGTAAACAATAGAATGACAAATCAACCAGGAATGTCCTCATGTGTTACTAAAAGGGAAGAGCTGACCAGTCACCGCCAGAGTGTAAGCTGAGACGTGATACCAGGGAGGGAGGGTGTGAATATGGGAGAATAGAGGAGTGGATCTTATGGCAAGGGGGATGTTTACCCACTACCTGGCGGTCACGAAAACAACCACACTTGATGCATTAACCTAAACCAACACTGGGAGATAAACTGCTTAAAGTCTGTATGAACATTAACTGCACGACATTTTACTGTGGGTTGCAATAGGGGAAAGATACCTACGTATGCTCACACAGCCTGAAAGTGCTCTCAAGTTCAACTTGTTTGCCTTGTTTCTGCCGAGACGGCGGTGTGTCGATAAGTGAAAAATGTATAAATGGGGTGTCCTTAGAGAGGGGAACATACCTAGTCGTTATAGAGAGTGCTGCAGCTGGTACAGTGTGCTACTGAGAGGTGGAGTAAAGTAGTAGTCTACTCTAGAGAATGAAGGTTAGTGGGCAGCTAGTCAAAACTCACACACTACCCCACATTTTTCTGGCAGCAGAGATATGCCGTGTTAGGAGGCAGCGGTGGACCCGGTTCACACCCATTGTCTTGATGATGTGTGGTGCAAACACAACAACAATAACACTACGGCTTACTTCCTCCATCATCGAGGTAAAGGAGGAGCCTTTCCTTTCACTGTTACACCTTCACATGTTGATACACACACACACAATGGTGGTGTTATTGGACGCATGAATCACGAGGTGCCGACACAATGCGAGAATTATGTACACACCAACTACACACAGGGAACACTTTTTCAAGAGGTCTCGAACCCACAACACTCTGGTTTCTAGACGAGAGCCCGTCACTGAGCTCTACCAGGGCAACAACTCAGGAGGCTGAGCTCAACGCAATACAACACACTCGGCAAAGGCAAAGACAAAACAATGTCAGTGGACGCACTCCTGGACAACCTTAAACATTCCAGGTTGTCGAAACATAACCCAGGGCCAAACTGTAGCACGGGGGCAACAGAGAACAGGGCGTAGTGTTTGACAGACAAAGAATTCGATGGAAAAAACCTTGCAATGAACAAAAAAACTCTGCTGGAAGATGGTACAGTAAATTAGGGGCCTATTGCAAAACAATTAGAGTCCATTGTATTGCTGCAATATACAGAGCTTTTCAAGAGGTGCCACCAGTTCAATTGGTACAATACACTGCATGTGTAGTTGTTATAAGAAGAAGAAAGGTTATACCCACAAAGGTGTATGGCAAAGTGCATCTTCTGCCTTTTTAGTTTATGCTGTACATACAGGCGACTCAAAGACTGTAGTTCCTTTGAGAACGAGTCCCAAAGGCTCCACTGTGCAGAGGCAGAAAGAACGTCAAACAATGGCAGGATTCTGAGACTGCACACGTCTGGAAGAGCCCTCTCCCAACACCAGTTGGGCAGACCTGTCAGACCAGCATGACAATCTCCCTCTACTCCAGGCTTTACTAGAGTACAAAGTGGCTGAAGTGATGAGCCAAGCACATTCCAATAGGTACACTTGACTTCCGATGAGGCTCAAGTATTAGGTCAAGATGATACTCCCACATGTTCTCACGAGAGCATAGTAGTTTCAGTGAGACTTTGGGAGCTGTTAGTAACCGGTTTATCACTCTTAATTGAACCCACATGTACCTTTTGGAACACACTTTACCACCACCATAATTATTATACTTGAGGGTTAAGAAGATATACAGCTCACGAATGAGACACGGAGGTAGTATATTTGTTTTCAGCTAAAGAATAGTTTTGGGAGCTGTTAGTAACTGGTTTATCACCCTTAATTGAACCTTAATTGAACCCCTCTTTACCTCCACTATATACTTGAGGGTTAAGATATACAGCTCAAGAGAATGAGGCACGGAGACATGGAGACATACTCCCACACAATAGTAGTTTTCAGCTAGAGAATAGTTTTGGGAGATGTTAGTAGCAAGGTCACCACTCTTAATTGTACAGCAGTAGAACCCATGTGTATATACCTTTTGGAACAAACTTTACTCCACTACCACTGTGTCTGTTGGGGGGTCAAGAATTAGCTCCAGAGCGAGACATGATGGCACTGCCCCCACACATTCTCACACTGATCATAGTACAGTTTCAATGAAGCTGCTTTAGAGCATAAGGTTTTGGGAGCTGTGAGTAACACAGGTCATCACTTATAGTACTCCCTCTCTAGAGACTCCCCTGAAATGAGGGACACCTCTCTAATACGGACACCAAGAGAAGTTTCTTTTTCCTTAATTCCTGAAATAGTACACTTTCATCAGTCCTACCAGCATCTAGTTGCCTGCTTTGAAAGCGCTAAGTACACGATTATAGCACATCAGCAAAAGTTCAATGCTAGGTATCCCCACAATCAAAGAAGCCAGTGCTAGACCATAGTAAATAGCGGTCGACACATTATCCGTTGCTTGTCACGAGCTATACAGTGGACAAAGTACACTGTTGCTGAACTTGCTGAACAAAGCACGCCACCTACACTTTACTCTGGAGGCCATTATATGCAGCTAGGGTGTCGGGCAACTATTTTCACAATGGTTCACAGCAGGTCGCTTGTATACCATTCCACGTGTCGTGGGCACTGACATAACAGTCAGTGAGCACAAGCAGCAGTGTACTTGCACAACAACATGCCCAACAACACACGCAGATATCACATTCAGTTACTTGTACATGTCAGTAGACCAGAGTAGCTGCTAAGGAAGAGGGGTATGACCTGGGTATGACCCCTCTAATGAGATTCATATTTCATTCTACGCCAGTTTTATCGTGCTTGGCCAACCACAAACGCTCCACACAGCAGTCTTATACCGCCCTCATGTGCCATCATTGACTAATACATAGGTACACATGCAGTTATCGAACCACTCTTGTAAGGGCTGGCTCTGCACAGCTGCGCAATCATTAGCACACGAGTTAGCCAATATTTTTACGTCCGTGTGTATGTGGTTGCTGCAGGAATTGGGGGGAAAGGAACACAAGTTGGCGAGTGCCGCCCACGGCCACCAACGAGGCAGCCCCCTAGGCCAGAGAGCGGCTCGACGGAAAGGTCAGAGTTGGCAGAACAGAGATGGCTCAGCCCCAGAACATGGCTACCACGTACTGAACTTCTCTATGCCAACCTTGTTGGCAGAATATTAACCAAGCCCCTGTCTCTTCTCCCTCTTTTTCTACCTCTCTCTCCTTCTTCCCCCTCTCTTCTCCTTCCCCCTCTCTCCTCCTTCTTTTTCTACCTCTCACTCATCACTCTCTCTCTCCTCCTTCCTCTCTCCTCCTTCCCCCTCTCTCTTTCTCCCTCTCTACTCCTTCTCCCTCTCTCCTCCTCTCTCCTCCTTCCCCCTCTATCCTCCTTCCCCCTCTCTACTCTGATGCCTTGGATCTGTAGCAGGACAAGTTAACTGGACGCTCAGACAGTTGTCCAACTACACTGTCAGCTGCAGGCCTGTCGGGTGTGGAGAGGCTGAGGCAACTCAACATCTGCAGTAGATGCTCCTAAAACAGATTACCAGCTGGTGCTTCAGAACCTACATTCCTCCCATTAGCAGTGGAGAAAAACACTGTAGCCAACCACATCACTCCAGAGTTCCTTCATTACTTTTCTTTCTCTCTCCTCACACACACACACACATGCACACAACAGGCGGTATGAACGTCAGCGTAGCAACTCGCTCTCTTGTCTAACTTCCACACGAAGCAGGTGTTGGCAGCTACCACAGTGTCCCAGTTTACATGCGCGACACTCAAGTTTGCCAACAACAGGCGCCGAGCACCAAGGGTGCACGCACACACAGCACATACACACACACTGCCCGAGCTAAAAAGGCACGGAAAAAGACAATACAAAAAGCACGGACACTCCACGCGAACGTGCTAGTGGCACTAACAAGAAGCGGAGCTTTGCAAATGAGCAAGAGCACCGTTTTCTCACACAATATTAGACAGCTAGAGTGCATACACGCCGCATACAGTGGAAAAGCGGGGATCCTCACCCATATTTCCAACGATGGTCGCTCGCCGGCTCCGCTGCAGAACGGGTCACTTGAACTCCACAGTACGGGCGCTTTCTCAAAGGGCAAGAAAAGAACAGAGCAAGTTAGCGACAGACACGAGCGAAACGGTTGATGAAAGCGCCTAAGCATACAAAACTGACTGGCCGGCCAATCTGGGCCACCGCACCCCCGCTGGGAATTACGTCATTTTTACAACGTGCATGACGAAAGATGACGACTCCGTTGAAGCGCGCGGTATAAAAGCCGCGGAGCATCAAAATCGGCGACAATGTGACGGTACACAATGCAGATCCGAGGGCTTCTTCTGCTGCATTTGGTGTGCCTTGCGTCTTCAATGGGAACCAGCAGGTCAAAGAGTAAATCAGGAAGCCAAGTCACTCTCACTACACACATCAGTGTCTTGAATGACGGCGTGCTCGTGTGCATGAGAGGCGATACCTTCACTTCGACGCCAGTGCTGAACGCAAACTGGACCAAGGACGGCAATTTCCTGGTCCCGAATGAAAGAATAAAGATTTATGCAGAGAACGTAACTATATACTCAGTTCTACCGGAAGACGAAGGGACGTATCGCTGCAACAACAGCGCGGATTTTGAGCTCACAAGTAAGAGAACTAATTCACTGCATCTTCTATAGCTGTTCATGCAGCTGGTTACTCTTCTGCTTCCTCCCCTTGAATGTACGTATGCAGCTCCGCCTCATGTGATTGAATCAGAGGAAGTCTCATTGATGCACGAGCTGGGCCCTGAAGTGAGACTGGAGTGTGGCATTAGACTGGGGGCCTTGTCTCGTCGGAAGGCATACGAAGTTAACTGGCAGAGGGTCTTGGGGAAAGACTCCATCATCATCATCAGTAGCTGCATGAGTCCCGATCACAACGAAGACGACACTGCTGGCGTGCAAGATGACTGCAAGGCAGAGTTCGACTTTGAGGATTTCTCCCTCACACGCTCAAATGTGGAGCCTGATGATAGTGGGCGTGCAGTGTTCAAATGTATCGTAAATCTCCAATTTCAACCTTCCTCCAACCCACATGCCGGAACGTTTAGAGACGTTGACACTATTGTTATGTTCTATGGTAAGGTAAACCTTTGGACATGGGCTAATCAGGTCCCCCAGCAAACAAATATGCAGGTGTTTTGGGGAGAGTTTAAGTACATGGGAATCTTGTAAGATTTCTGTATTTGCATACAAATTAGTGCATTGGCAACACCCAACCCAACCCCCTCCCTCCCGCCCCTTTAATAGAACCAGCTGCAATCCACCCTTCTCTCCCTACTTACACCCTGATCCACTCTGGAGATGGCCTGACACTACGTATTGGTTTCTCTGGAGACCCTCTGGAGCCAATCACCTGGGAGAGAAATGGGGAGCCCCTTACTAAATCACTAGTTGACGAAGATGCCTCAACTTCTACCGTGTTTCTGGCTCCCGAGGACATAGAGCAAGGAGACAGGATCAGAGCCACTGTGAATGTTCTCAATAAATCATCTGAGTGGTCTGAAACCTTGATCATTATTTTGTGTAAGTCGTTAGATCACCATCTTTACACACCTATACATATTGACCAGCCTCAGCTATTATGCATCCCAATAATGCTTACGAGCCTCCTGCAACTAACACCTCACCAAAATTAGAAGCCCAAGTTCCCAAAACATTGTGCATTGTTGTGAGGAAACACACTCAGTATAAATTCACTCTCGAAGCTTTGTCCTGCCATTAGTACATTCCAACCACAAGGCCCTACCCTTGAACTTTCCCAGTAGCCCATCCTTTCACATCTGCTAACTGCCATCCAAACTGCTCCACTAACTTCCCCGAAATGATGCAATCATTGTTGTTGGTTATCTGCAGACCCTATAGAGCATGTGAGTGTGATGCGACCACCTGCTGGCGATTGTGCTGCTCCCGTCCTAACACTCAGTCTCCCAGATACAATCCCTCTACCACAAACTATGGCATATCCTCAACCAATTCAACTGCTCATCGAGTACACCAGAATCGACCAAGAGTCGACCAGCGACAGTAGCACCCCAGGTATCGTCACCAAAGCATACAATGCCAGTGGTTTGGCTAAATCCTCAACTCTGGTGATGCCACTGGACAATCTGCCATACATATTGCTGTCTTGGGAGGCGTACGTGGTTCATGTCAGACTCAAGGTATTGGGAGAGTCCTCGCGTCAGTGGAGTTCATACTCCACACCGTTCTGTGTCCACTGCATGGAGTGTAAGTCAAAGAGATGTGTATAATCCATCAGTTGTATTATAGAGTGTGGGTCTGTATAATACTTAAAACTCTCTGTGGATGAAAAAACGTGGGATATTTGATATTACAATGGTTTTGGTTTCTATTAAAGTATGATACTACTGTATCGAGTCCCAAAGCTGGGAATTTCGTATTCAGTCACATGGAATCAAGCTTCGTCATTGTACCAGTGTCCACCAGCTACGAGGGATTTTGTAATACGTCTGATGCAGCAGAGGGCGTTTCATAATCTTGTATAGGGGACTCATACGACCTAATATGAGTAGAAAGTAATCCCCAACAATATGGAGAGGTGACCCAGGTGCGAGGGTGTTGCATTTAGGCCAACGGGAAACACCTATGGTTTAGGCAGTATAGTATCCCCTGGATTCCTGAGTTTTTATGGAGAGATAGCTAATGGTATTAGCAAACAGTACGGGTTGAGGTGACCAGAAACCTATCAGGAACGTAGCTAAAACTGACGCATATATATATCACCATTGCACACGCAGCTAACACCCTTGTCTTATAAGTAGAGTTATTTCGAGTTGCTCTGCAGTATTTAATGGAGCAGTTCTTTACACTTCCATGTCTCTTCCCGCACCAATCCAGTGTCTTGTGACCCTAACTCCCAACACACACACACACACTACAGATTGTGCCTTTATAAGACCATACAAATGCATACCGTAAACCACTTTACCAAACCTTTCCCCTTCGATGATGTAACATTATAAAAATGCTGAAATCATGCACAGGGAGTGGGCTAATAACATGGAAGGTGGCACAAGAGGTGTGTGTCTGGAACCATCGTTATGTTTCTCCATATTATGTAGGCGAAATTCTGGATGAGGCAAACCATTTTTGATAGTTATTGCACAGTTTGATAAAACTGTTGAGTAACTCACACCGATGAGAATGTTATCATAACACGCTGGTATTTTTTGAAGTGTATACACATACACATTGTGTTGGTAAATATGTTTTCACAGTCAAATGTAAACACGCAGGTATGAACGCACCAAGTGTGAAAATAAAGCTTCGCCTCTCTTTTCCTGAGAATTCAAAACTCTGCAGCAATATGGTAAGTGATGCTAAGCATGCACATAGTAGTGTATAGTCTTGACTGGTGTTATTAATAGATACTGAATATATGGGATGGTACGGAGGATAGGAAATCATAACACTCGGTGGTTTACAAAAACTGAATGTGGTGTAAGGGGAAAAAACGAGTCCGTAAGGGAATGTCATCCGGGGAAAGGTGTTTGGTATTTGCTTTTAAGAAGTGCATTACCCCATAGTGGAGTAACAGGGTCTATATACTATATAGCGTCGCTGTATTATGAGAATCTCGAACAGTGGACTTTTCGCTATCACTATACACATAAACAGCAGATTATTCTACGTGTAGCTAAGCTAAGGTTAAGGCTCCCCAAATGTACAGTAGAAGCTCCAGCAAGGGATCCTCTGAACATCTCTTTTTAAAACTCTACCCCATATTAACAACCACTGATCAAAGAACACCTCTGAATCAAGGAAACTTGCATGGATGAGTTTCCAAGGTGTCCCTTATTCAGCTGTTTGTATTATGTCCACAGGGATTTGAGGAGGTTGAGGAGGCACTGGTGGGCAAGCTACTGACAGCTATTCAGGAGAGCTGTCCTGATTACCTCTGTCGCGATCTGACGCTGGCAAACGTTAGCTTGACTTGTTCTGGGGAGACTGCTGGTGTTCTGACTGCCACTGCAAGTGGGATTGGAGCCGAGAGAAACGTACTGTCTTTCCTCAGATCAATCAATGAGGACAACCCTCCACTCAGACTCTCGTTAAACGGGACGTCGGTCGAAGTCAGCTCCGTCGTCAATGAGGAGCAGAAAAACACCACACCTAAATCCGACAGATCAGTGCAGGAGATTACCGGATCCACTGTGGGGGTTGTCCTTCTGGTGCTACTGACACTTGTACTCTCTTACGCCGCCTGGCGTTGGTGAGTTGAGTGTTAAATTACTATCATTAAAGTTTTTGAGTGGGGAAAATGCTTTTGGCCAGATAAATATGACATCATTCCAACGGGTTGTTATGAAAGAGCCCCCCTCATTTTCAGTGTTGAATGGATCCTTCCCCCACTTGTTGTATACATATATACTCACAGGAGGAAGTCTCAGGCCGCCACTAAGACCTCCAAATACACTGAACCATCCAATGAGTCTGGTGCTGATGCAAAGACTACCAGAGAGCCGGCTGAAACCACACCTCCTCGTCAGCCCTCTAGAGACCTTGGTTTGCAGGACACACGACGAGACGAGTCACCTCAACAAAGAAATCTTCCTCTTCCTCCGTCTCCAAATGGTTCACAGAGATATGAGACAAGATTGCTGCAACTTCAGTCTCCACTACCGACTAAGAAATCTCTTCACCACTCCCACCTCACACCCTCCCTCCACTCACACCACCAGCGCTCTCAGCTCACAATGAGTCAAGCTGCAAACCTTGCTCAAATGGGCAATCTAGAAGACACCTCTTCTGTGGACACTTCTCCCTACGCACCTCATTCGGAGATCAGCTTTGTGCTGACTGGCTCCACCTCAGTCTCTAACCGCCCCCTCACCCCCCTCTCCTCAAAGAATTATGGAGAGAGTCCACTGCCTTCGTCCCAGAGTGTGGCCGGGTACCGATCTCGCCGTAATCTCTCCCTCCCTCTGTCGAGGACCAGCGACACTGCACACAGGACGACCCCGTGCACATGCTCTTGTCATTCTCGCGAGTCGACCCCCCTCCCCTCCCCCTCCCTCTCGGGGGGTGTCCCCTTTCATCAGAGAGGGTCTCCCATGCGTCGATCAAGGACAGCATCTCCGCTTCTCTCACCCTGGCTCTCAGCTCAGACGAATAACAGAGCTGCAAGTCCATGGTCGAAGCCCCGCCTCCATCTCCCCCGGCGACTCGGAGCTTCGGAATCCCCAGTTTAATTAACACCTTCTAGAGGGTGTGGATTGGCACAATAATATAATTGGTGGGTGTGGCTATTTATGACATGGATATTTGAAACTGCCTTTCATACAGCAGTATAATCAACCACTTGAATCGCTTACCTTTGTTTTCTATTTGTAGAATTATCATGCAATCATCATCTAATCTATCATCTAATCTGTGTGTCGTTTCCAGCTTTATTTTGCAAGGTCAAAGGTCAATGCCGCGAATAAACACGTTCACAACGGAAGGCTGAAAGCTTGGCGAGGATGGGTAAGAGGAGGGGGAAGAAGAAGAAGAAGCGAGTCAAGAGCGAGATAGAGCGTTGCACGGGTCACGAGTCGGGCCCGGAGACGACTACGGGGCGGGAACGGAGGGACAGCGGTCAAGAAGACAGCTGTAGTCCGGCATGGAACAGTTTGGACGAAGAAAGTCTCGCAGACTACGCCGAGAACGCGGCGGCTGGTGAGTCGGGCGGAGAAGTAGAGGTGGCCAAGCTCCTCTCCTTTCTCAACTTCTCCGTCATTCCCTGCGCGTTGGAGCCGTACAACTTAGAGTGTGAGCTGCCGCACGCGCCAAGCGGAGGGGGCCCGCCGACGGACGTGGACTTGTTGTCCGAGCTGACCTCTGCCACTCACCTGGAGAGAGAGGAGGACGCCCGGGAGGGAGAGACGGAGGACGCCAGAGGGAAGAGGAGGAGCAGGAAGAGAGCCTCGCACCGTCGTCCGAACAAACGCGCGAAGAAACTGCGCAGCAGCGTCGGCCCAGCTAGCCTCGCTGTGGCGGCGGGCGAGTTCATGTGCCTGTGCCACTTTGTGCGGGCTGGCGGCGAGGAGCGGCTGGAGGAAGAGAAGAAGAGGACTAGAAACGGCGCTTTCGCGGCGGCCTTGCCTCGTGACACGGTCGTGAGCATGAACTCCGGTGGTTACTATTGCGAGCGTTGTTACGGGAGAGGGGGGAGGGGAAAGAGAGGAAGGAGAAGGAGCAGAGAAGGGAGGTTCGACCCGTTGGCTCGGGCCGCGGCAGTGGGGAGGTGGAGTGCGGGGAGAGGCAGGGGGACCAGGTCTGAGAGCTCCACTCCAGTCAACCTCCCCACACACTCCATGCCCCAGCACTCCCTCGTGGAAATGGAGTGCGAGAACGGAGATTTTTCCAACGACACTTCTGCAACAGGCGAGGTGGACATGGGGGCGGAGCCTGATGACTCTGACCACACCCCTCCAGCCGAGTCCTCGCCTGGCGATCTGTACGAAGGAGAGAGGGAGGAGGAAGAAGAAAGTGAGCTTAGCGACACAACAACTGACAGGTGTGCATTAATACTACCTGAAGTTCCACTCAATTGTTGCAATTGTTTGGCTAATTAGTTTTCGTAGAGCCAAAACTTCAACCCCATATTTGTTCTCTGGCTTCCTCTATATATCTCCAGTGGTTGTGATGGAGATGATGAAGAGAGCAGTGTGGAGAGAGTCGGCATGGCACTGTCTGGGTGGTGGGAGAGGGAGCCCCCGTTCGTTAGCAGTAACGAGGACTCAGACTCCGAAGAGGAGAAACTAACAAGTATCCTAAATGGAGCGTTTCCCCACATGTCTCCAGCCAAAGGCTCCAAAAACCCACCATCTCTCAGAGAAAGACTGAGTTTATCTTCACAGTTCAAACACCCCGGGAAATTTGGTGTCCGAGGGAGAAGTGTGAAGAAGAAACGCTGCAAGCCGTCACAGACTGCCACCAATCACCTAACACCGGCCGAAGTGAACTCAAAGATATCTGCGTTTGTTGAAGACGAGACTGAGCGAGAGTTGAGATTTGTGCTGGTGAGCAGGGCGCACTGTCTAACCATCTCTCACCTTGCAGCGGCGTACGGGCTCCACTGTGACGTGGAGCAGCAGAAGAGGAGGTTGCCAGTAGCCAGCCCGAGACTGAGAAAGACTCCCTTCACGCGACTGGCGAGCTGGTTTGAGGTGGAACCAATTCTCAAGACACACCACTCCCCTGGACACATTCTGTCGTTCCCCTGTTCCAGCGACTCTGTGATGGACGACGTGTCGTCGGAAGGGGGCGTGGTAGTTGGGCGAGGTGTCCCTGTAATTGACGAGACTAATGTGGGGAACCGGATGTTGCAGGGAATGGGATGGAGACCTGGAATGGGTCTCGGACCTGATGGCGGTGGTATTCGTGAACCCATACATGCATTTGTCAGACCCAGACGCAGTGGCTTAGGTTTCTAACCACACCCTCTCTGTATAGTATTGTATGTTTCATCATCATTACATCATACAATGAAAAGCATTAAAGTGCAAACCCTCGGCACACTCTATAGAAATGTGGAACCCATACACAAGTGTGGCACCACCACAATTGATGGTCTTGACCATGCATCAAAAAGAACAGCATGTTATGCACCATTTGTTGAAAAAAAAATGGCCAGCCCTATTTCTGTTTGAGGCCCAAAAAATTAATAAGGTTGAAAAATTGCCAACCTTTCATCTCTCTATTAATTTTCGTATTACCCGTGGATGTTTTAGTGCCAAAAAAAAGTAAAAACCCAAGGTTGAAAAAAAAACGCCCAGCCCTTCATGTCTCCAGACAGACGTCTACGGACGCAGTGCAATGCCAACTATACGCTGCCCTTTGAGAAACATGGGTCAGTGGTAGATTTGTGGGTAAGGGGAGGAACCAGAGCTGTTCCCAGCCAATGCTCTGGACCACCTGACACTTTAGTGCGGGATCGAGGATTCGAACCGGGCACCTATGGTGTCAGTCCCCACGACTCTAACACCTAGCCAGGGTAATGATGTCATTCGCAAAAAGTCAAATACACTGGAATGCACTGTATATGCGTATTGAGGTGTATATACATATGTTAGACATATTCGGAAGTCAAGCTGGCTGCATCGTCACTATCATCTGATTCACTGGACGAACTCTCGATCCGACTGTTCATCGGCATCTGTTTCCACACTGCCCCGGGGACACGCCCCTTTCTCCTGCGAGGTTTCCGAGGGTCTCGCTGGTAAATGTCCTCCAAGTCATGGTGGTTTCTGCGAGTTCGACTCGGGGGTTTGCCAAACACGGGGGGAGCGTTTTTAACAATGGGGGTCTCTGAATTTTGGATTTGGTGAGGGGTGAGTTGAATGGGTTGGGGACCTGTCCAGCGATCGTTTTGCGAGGAGCTGATGCTGGGTCTTGAACTAGGGGCACTGCTGGGAGCCGTACTGCATCCGTTAGGAAGACCTTCTGGTACGTCTAGCAATCCCACTGTGTTTGGGTAGCCGTTCAGTTGGAATGCAGTTTCTCCCTTCCATCGATCCTGCCTCTCTTGGTCCGTCTTCCACTGGGTCAGTAGTCCTCTCAGATCGTTCCCTGGTCTGGGGTTGACACCTGGAGGGTGATGGTGGCTTGCAAGAATCTGTGATACAGGGTAGCCAGGGACCTCCTGCATCTGAGGAGGGTAGGACACACCCTGAGCATGGGGTTGAAGAGGGTAGCCAGGCACCCCCTGCGTCTGAGGAGGGTAGGACACACCCTGAGCATGGGGTTGAAGAGGGTAACCAGGCACCCCCTGCGTCTGAGGAGGGTAGGACACACCCTGAGTGGGGGGTAGTTAGGTGCCTGGGATTGAGTAGGGTGGCCCTGCTGTGCATGAGGTGGGAGAGATGTTCCAGACTGAGGTTGTTGGGTGTTCAATGTTGCCTGGGGTTGAGACTGAAGCGGGTGGGTAGTGCTGGTGTGTTGTTCGCTTGTTGATTCTCCAAATCCTCTCCATTTTGGCACCTTTGGTGGTACCACTGGTTTGAGCTCAACAGAAGTCTGCGAAGAGGAGAGATTTGGCGCCGAAGACATCGGCTTGCCCTTTGACCCCTGCTTCGATCTCGATTTTGAAGGCACTGCCAGCATTTTCTGTTGTTGCTGAGCTGAACGCTCTCTGTGACTTCTGGACACTTGTTTTGAGTTCTGCGTACTCGGGCGAAGGTGGTCGTGTACTGCCGCTGTAGCTGTAGGAAGGACTGGTTGAGACAGTCCGTTTTGGAGTCCAGTTCTGGGGTTTTGGAACTGAGAATGGGAATGGGACACTGGGAGTAGATGGTCTGGTATATGTTGGTTCTGTGGGTGATCCAAGATGTGGTCCAGGCTACATGCGTGAGCAGGGGGAAGGGAGAGAGGAGGTGGAAGGGAGGTGGGGAGAGGGGGAGGGGAGGGAGAGTGACTGTGGTTCAACAAAGGTTGACTGCTGTGTTGAGCTCCTCGGGTGTGGTGGTTGCCCATGGTAACGTCGGGATTTCCCCTCCAGTTGAGGGCGTTGGTCGTGCGACAAGTCCATTACCTGGTGCTCGTGGAGCGGAGAAAGCTGATTGGTCGGTCTCCCCGACCAATCACGATTGCTTCCACCATCGGCCATGTGATTAGTCACATGACCAGGGTACTCAGAAGCACTCCAGGAATCGGCAGACTCGTCAGGACTCGAGACCCTTTGTTCTTGATGATAATGACGAAGACGATGTCGTTTTGATTTCTTTTTCTCCGGGACCCCCGGGGGGAAATTCTCCAGTGGGGGGCTCGGTGCACGGTCTCCAGAGATGGTTTCCCTCCCGTGGTGAAGTGAGGGGGGACCCCCGTTTGTTTCGGTCGTTGATTGTCTCTGGTAGCTGCTGATGCTGGGAGGACCGCTGGACATGTGTGAATTGTAGGAGGAGAGGTCAGCATAGTCAGTGCAGCGGCGCTGCGGAGGAGGTTCCGAGTGGACTGTGATCCCTGACGCTCTGGCTCTGGGGGGGAGACAAGAGAGCTGATGTTAAGGTTTGGGGTTGGGTTAACTGGTTTGACCCACATTCCTCCATTTTTCTGATGATATTCTGTGAAAGCTGTTGACGCTCCACTCAGACTTGATGCACTGCGCCGACTGGGGACTTTGGAGAGGAGAGAGAGAGAAGAGTCATTTGTAAACACAGTAGCATTTCTAATACACCACACTGCCAAGGAAATACATACATAAGTTGTAGCTACATACACGATTGGGAATGGTTTGTTGGTCATTTGGTTTACTCACGTCCCTGCAAAAAAAATGCGAAACCCATATCGGGAGGGAGGTTTTCTTGGATCGCCCATCAACACACAGCATGGTGTTGTTAATAGCTTACTATAAGTCTTTCCCTTGCGACGTCTGGTGAGAGAGACAGAAATGATGAAAATGATGACAGTTGGAGTTCCGAAGACCAGCAGTGTGGCTACCACGGCAACCACCACAATGAACCACGTTGTCTCCCACACCGGCTGAGAGCTGACTGGAGAGAGCGAACCTGAGAGGGGGGAGCAATTAATGAGACAACCGTGCTCGCACTCTCACTCACAAAGTTTAACTACTAGTAATGATGATGTAATGCTTGGCTCACTATGTTTACCTATTAGAAATGGTGAAACGGTGATATTGGCCGGTTTGCCCGTGCCACATTGATTGTTGGCCTGAACCGTGACCACACATTCCCCGACCTCTTCAAGATCAACGACATATGTGTAGCTCTCCCTTCCCATCAGGACTTTGTTTCTCGTCTCCCGGTCGCCATGACACCAGGTAACGATGTAGAGGTCGTCGGGGTCAGTGGGTGTGGTCCAATTAACGAGCGCCGCAGTGGAGTTGACTGGTTGGGCTGTCAACCCAGTGGGTTGGGCTGGGGTGGAGCCTACAAGCAATAGTGGACTGCATCAACCATACATTGTCTCAAGCTCAGAGGTGTCCCTTGTTGGGAGGTAACTTAAATAGGACAAAGATAAACCAGTTTGTGTCCGGTTTGTCAATTCTCTTACATCCGTATGTGGTAGTCTCGGCTGGGTCAGATGTTGGCCCCGCCCCCTCTGCCGTGTGGGCGGAGACTAAAACGACGTAAGTTGTCTGAGATCTCAGCGATGCCAGTGTTAGAGTGGTCTTATTAGAGCCCACTCTCCTCTCCACAAACGTCGACTGTAAATTGAAACAGTTTGTGACGTAATGCTGATGTAATGCTTGACCTCTGACCTCTGAGGATATTCGGTAGGAGACGGTGTAATCAGTGAGGGGTCCTCCGTAAGTCAGACAATCACTGGGGTGCTGCGAGAGAAGGGAACGTGAATGGAAAAGTATTATGTGTGCAAGGAAACATCTTACAAGAAAACATCTTACAAGAAAACATCTTACAAGAAAACATCTTAACAAGGAAACATCTTAACAAGGAAAAAGGTAACATCTTTTGTTAGGCACATAAGATCGGGATTGCATGCAGATGAACTAGATCTTACCTCCCAGGTGACTGTGAGGAGTTGATTACCAGGGGTTACCTCAACATTAGATGGAGGAGCAGAGGGAGCTGCATGGGGGAGCAGGTTGAAAGAGGTAAGGGCAGAGGCAAGAATGCAATAATGGCAGAGAAAGAGAGACTAACAATCTGGGAGGGTCCACTCAGATCCAGGGACTGTGGTCGGTTGGCTCTGGTTGGCCGAGTTCCTGGCTCTGATCCGTACCATGTACTCCTGGAATGGAACCAGGCCCAGCACCATCACCCCCACAGCTTCACCATCGTCCACCTCCTGGTGAACTTTCCATTCCGGTTCCACCTGGGGACACAGCGAGTTGCCTAGCAACATAACTTCGACAAGGTAGCCGGTGAGTGGGAGGTTCCCACTGAAAGTAGGCGGAGTCCAGCTGAGTGTTAGGATGTTAGTTGTAACCATGGCGATTAAAAGAGCGGTTGGAGCAAAAGGATCAGTTGGTGGTTCTATGGAATGGAATTGGTCCGCAATCAAAAATTAGTTCTATTCCATCTGGTTTGGATGGGGACATGACATACCTCCGACTCCGATGATGACAGATCCGATTTCTTCCTCTAGAGGTTGACCTCCGACCCCTGTGGCCGATATTTCAACGACACAAGTGTAGCGTCCGCGATCTCCCACGTCCACACTCTCCAGTACCAGTGACCCTGCACCGTACATGTCGGGGCGTACGGTCCCCACCGTGGTGCCATCACGGTACCACTGGTAGACCACTGTGGTAGCGTCCTCAGGTCTGGTCACATTGCACGGTACGGACAGCCGTGCACCGTGGTCTGCTGTGAGGACTCCGTCATGTGAGGCTGCTGCCAGGTCCCCTGGTCTGTTCCTTACAGTAGACCCAACTACAGGAGAGAGAGAGTTAGAGTAGCTTGGATTGTCAACACTCTCCATCACTAACTTTTGGTCCCCCGATGTGCCTATATACCCTTGCTAAAAATTTATGCTTACACTGAACCTTTAGGCCATCCCAATATTTCAGCGTACTCAGAATAGGACGGAAGATGATGTAATGAGTGACTCACCAAGTACCCGGAGCTGTACTGTGGAGGAGGTATCGAAGCCAGCGCTGTTGGTGGCTGTGCATTGGTAGGGAGAGGAGTCAGCTACTGCTGCACCAGAGATTGTCAGTGTTCCGTCCCCAGAGCCTTCTGCTGGTAGACTGATACGACCTGCCAGTGAGAGGGGAGGGAGAGAGAGCCAAAAAAGACATTTAAACTTGGCGATGAGTATATAATAGTGCTTGCAGTTGCTAAATTTGAATCCACTAGGACTGCACGAGGACCAAATTGTAAGATGCGATCAGTTAAAGGCTGATTCTAGTATATATACATATGCTAATTTAGAGAAATATTGTGTGTGGAACAGACAGAGAAAATGAAGCCTGAAAGAATAATAATATGAAGACACCATGAAAGGTGCCACAATTTGAGGAATCCTCACTGTTTTGGAGCTCAACGGGAGTTCCATCTCCTCTGGCCCAGGTGAAGGCTGGAGGAGGGAACCCGGATGCCGTGCAGGGGAGAGAGACTGCCACGCCCACAAATACCAGGAGGTCAGATGTCGGCTCCGTTGTAATAGTGGGTGGAGTCACTAGAGAGAGGAAGAGATGGCGAGAGGAGAGAAGCGGCTGAAGTAGAAACAGTAAAAGGAAAACAAAACGTACGTATGACTGAGAGACGTCCGTTGGCAGCTGCTTGCCTCTGGTCTCCCCCGGCAACCACCAGGGATGCCACGCACTGATACACTCCTCGATTATCCTCCATCACAGACAGGATCTTGAGTGTAGATATCTGGTGGATTGAGAAACCAGGGGCCCACTACTCTACACATCTCTGATACTGTTTATAGCAGGAGACTTTCAATGAGAAAAAATAATCTTGCTTGATTCCTTGGCTTTCTCAGATAAAATATCTTACGCACCAGTCCAGTTCTATCGTAGAGAACATTTCCAGAGGTCACGACCTCTGAACCATTGACCCTCCACACCCACTGTATATTGGAGCCGTCGTCGCTGGCAACGACCTCACAGGAGAGAATGACCTCTTCTGTGATATTGGCAGCCAGCGATGAGAAGGAAGACTGCATTGTAGGTGGAACTGAGGGGGGGAGGAGGGGAGGAGGGGAGGAGAAATATGTGCCCTGCTGAACACGTGTGAGAGAAATAGCATTCTTGTCATAGTTTTAAACTAAACTGTGGTTTAGTTGCCCGATATTCACGAGTCGTTGCAGTTAACTGTTTCAAATTTAAAAATTTATGTGGGTACAATAGGCTGTGTCTACTGTGTCTCTATTGCTCTTTGATGAATATAATTCCTCTAACTTGTATAATTATAGTAATGTAGAGAGGAGGAGTTGAACAGAAGGGGCCATGATGTAATGTGACATCATTGGAACACCCAGACTCCGGTCTGGTGTCTGGGGTATCACAACTGTCACCTCTCCACCTCCTCATTCCTAGCATTCCAACCCACACTATATATACAGCCTCACAGTACGTGCATGAGCTTGAAACAGAGAGAGAGTCAAAGCTAGGATCTCGCTATATACCTCCATTCGTATCTCGCCTAATCTCGCTAATAGGGACCTACAAATGACAGTAGCAGAAGAGAAGGGAGAGAGGGAAGGTAGAGAGAAGGGAGAGAGAATGGAGAGAGAAGGGAGAGAGAAGGGAGAGAGAGAGAGAGAGGGAAGAGAGAGAGAGAGACCCACCAATGACAGAGAGGCTGGCAGCAGGGGACTCTATAGAGGCACCAGTACTAGGGACTGTAGCCACACAGAGGTAGGAGCCCGCGTCCTCCGAGCCCACTGAACTGATAGTAAGGTTTCTGGCGGCCTGGGAGAATGAGATGTGGTCCGAGGAGGTGAGAGGAGACCCGTCCTTTCTCCAGCTGATCGCCGCCACTGGTCTGTAGGTGGGTGGGTGGGGGAAGAGAGAGAATATATGTATAGAATCACATTAGGTGAAAGAGTAGGGAAATGCTTCTCCCTCATTCAACAAGCAAGGGCCCAGCCTGGGTTAAAGATCTCAAGAGTTTTGATTGCTGCTTCTGTGCACTCTGTCTCCAACTTAGCACGATTGTAGTAACTTGGAGGATTATGCATAAATCAATAGACTACAGGTACACAGAGTGTGTGCTAGTGCGCGTCGCCACACAGCAAGCGGTTCCACTCTATCTTCTCAATGATGCCTATCACTAGAGCTATAATATACAAACACTAAAATCAAACAACATTGCTTGATTATTAACAGGTGCAATGAACGTAGGACAGCTAGCTTATTGTAAGATTTAATTCTATAATTCAACTGTGCTTTGGTTAGTATGATACTATTACGTTACACAACACATATGATGTGGGCATATCTCGTTACGTTTCCATCCTACAAGTCTGTGACACTTAACCAATCATGGCGATATTATATCATGACAAATGGGATTGAGAGGGGGAGGGGCAGGGGAGGGGGAGGGTAAACGAAAGGCAATATGCTCACGTTCCAGTTGTGAAGCAATCAAAGTGGGCGGAGTCTCCAGTGACAACACTCTGGGAAGTGGGTGTGGTCACAAATTCGGTCGGTAATGATAGGGGATGCGTAGCTCCACCAGCTGTCGACCAATCAAAATCAACAGTGATTACATCATCATTGCATCGTATATGTCACTCACAGATTAGGAGGTGGCCAGTTGTGTACCTGCGGGAATCACTGATTACATCATTAGATGCATAGCAATAAAACCGTCCATTATCAGTGGTGAGGTCGACAGAACTAATAACGAGTTTTCCACTCAGGGTTATCCCCATTCGACCGGAGTCAAAATCCGGTTCATCCAGAATGGCTTGATTCAATTCCCATTCTATGGAGGCTGGAGGTAGACTGGTTGGTACAGTGCAATCGAGAACCATGCTCTGTCTATTAGACACAATCTGTGTCAGAATATCATTGCCCACTGCTGGGAGTCCTTCTGTGCTGAACACTGCATTAGACAGGAAGGATAGAGTAATGGTAGAACAGAGGAATCACCAAGATCCAGCATTCCTTGCTAACCACAATACCATGTCAAACACAGATGGTTAGCTACCAACATAGCATACGTAGGTTGGTGGTTAACAGATGTATAGGACCTACTGGAGTCACCATAGGTATTTTAACAAACACCCTATGCTTTCGTTTATTTCTATGAAATAGAAACGCAACATGTGTTCGTTCACCTTCACGTGTACAGCAAACACAAAGACAAACAGTAAATCCAGTGGCAAAGGGAAGAGAGATGCTATTTGAAAACAACAGGTGCATGGGGAAAAGGAAGGCAGTAATGAGCTCTCAATTGATTGTGGCCTAACAGAATCACTGGGGCAGTGTAGGGTAATAGGCCCTAGCACCAACACCACAGGCGAGCAATGAGAGGGAGAAAGGTGCATGGGTGTAAACAATCCACTTGGTGCAACTTCTTGAAGCTGTATATAGCTGACACACCCCCTTTCTCCGCTCTATCAGAAATCTAGACTCTATACATTTAGCAAGATTCTTTGCCATCAATGTACAGAGAGAACCAACGCACATCTATATAAGTTATTGGAGGATTAGTAGCTAATGCCATACCAGCCAGCTGAAGAGAGGCACTAAGGCTCCTGACACTCCCCACCGCATTGCTGGCGACGCAGTAGTAGCTCCCTTCGTCCGACAGCTCAACTCCAGACACCGTCAGCTCTCCGCTGGTGGAACTGACGGTGTATCTACCGCCGCTGGTCACCTCTCCTCCGCCCTCTCTGAACCAAGCCACGGAGGGGGGTGGCTCTCCGCTAACTCCGCACTGGAGTGTCGCAGTTTGCCCACCAGCGACTATGAGATCGCTCGGCACTGCCGTAAACTGCGGTGAGGTGTAGGGATCTGCGTGTGAGAGAGAAAAAGAAGTGTATAATAGTGATCATCACAAAAGCACGAAACCCAGTGAAAGGGAGGCGTAGCTGGTAGTGCTCGATAGTTGGGGGTCCCAAACATTTCGCGGTTTCCTTGCTAGACCCGCACGCTCTCAAGTCGAGTAAATACTACAACTTTACTACCGTAGGTAGTAGTGGGACAGAGAAACAAGGATAACTCACCGCTCATTGCTGCTGCCAAGTGAACTATTCTCAATGGAAGATGGAAGACTGTTAGCATCAAAGCCGCGAGATGCATCGCCGAGCGGCAAGTGCCCATCTTCACAACAGCAGCCAGTCCGCTAGGGATTTGGTATACTCCCCTGGTTACTGTTTCATATGCAGCACAACAGGTATGCAGTGCGAACTTGCAGCGCGTGGGCGGCGTTGCCGAGCTGAGCTACTAGAGACCCGACCATCTTTCCGGTCGCGGGCGTGTTCTTTCTGCGCATGCGTACTATTTGCATTAGACTGCGGCCACTCATCAAGCGCGAAGAAAGGGAGCTGACGGTATTTGGTCGTCGAATTGTGGAGTGAGGCAGAATGCCGCAGTACAGGATCATCAAGCAGGGATACATGCTCAAGGAGCCGCCGTATTCCAAGCGAGGAGTGAGAAAGGTAAGAAATATCTGTAGCTATGCCCGTGTCTCTATGCGGCGAGACCGTCGTGCGGCGAATGCGGTGTTAGAGAAAGGGAGTAGCTGTATGTTGTTCCGCGCGCGTTGTCGAGGTTTTAGACTTTAGTGCCACGATGGACCCACGACAAATCGCGATTGTTGGCATCGTAGGAACAGACCCTAGCTCAAACACTTGTGCTGCGACATTAGTTGAGGATTTTGAGCGCTGATTGCATACACCAAACCCAGAGTCTAACTAGCTGCTCTCTACATGACTTCCTCAAACCTGACACTCATTAGTCATTGATCCACTGCTGTCTCTCACGTGCAGAAGCTGAAGCGATTCTGGTTTGTCCTGCTGGAGGACAAGAAGCAGGTCGCATTTGTCTACTACAAGAACGAAGACGCATACATTGCCCGGCAGAGAAATGTCGGGTTCATAAAGATCGACAACTCTCGAATCAACGTCGTTGGAGAATACCTCACACACAAGAATGCCTTTCAGATTGTCACAGAGAAATCGGAGTACACCTTTGTCTCCGAAACAAGGTCAGTTTATAGGGCATTGGCGACGGTGGGAGTAGAATTGGATTCACAGAGTGTGTTTGAAGATGCTCGGTTTGTTTACCTACTGTGATTGGTGTTTGTGGCAAGCAAATCAGAGAGATGCACATTGCCTGCTTCAGTTACTCCACTTAGCCACTGTCTCACTCCTACACAAGTGGGCATTCTTGTAAATCTCTGGAGTGTGGAGCGAGTTGCTTGCCTCATAAGCTGGCCGTTGCACTGTGTGCTATGTTCTCTGGTATGTGAATCATGCATTCCCCTCTCTTAGTCCCTCACGAATGAATGTCATGAATAGTTAACTAGAGTCTAGCTGGACATCAAAAAGATGTTATGGGTCAAGTATTAGAGAGTCTGCCAGGTATCACAATCTGAGATGGTGACTAATAGAGAAGGAATGTAGAGCAATCAAAAGTGTGTTATGCAGTTTGTTGTGGGTGTCTGTAGATATATTGCCACCACTGCCTTTGGCTACTGTCCCAACTACTTCCTTTGTTTATCGCATCTATCGCAGCATATGACTCATTCTTAGCCTGTACATGCACACATGTCTATTTCCAAACCAAGTCCAACACACCGCGTCCAAATAGAAAGAATGGTAGCTATGTGCTTCCAAATTTTCAGTCTGCCACCACACACACCCGTCAGTGTGGGTGTAGGCAGAGCCAGAAAATCTAAATCAGTCATTCTTAGCTCAATCTCCAGCTTGGGAGGTCTATAACAACGTACAGTGTGAGTGTTACATAAGGCCATAGTATATACAGTATAGAGAGTCTTGTCAGTAAGAGTGCCGTGTGTGATGTGATGGGAACTACTCATCTTGCTGTGTGGTGACACGGGAGTCAATAGGAGAGTGTGTGTGCCACATTTCAGATGGCTATGGTCTATAGTATGACGAGATGTAAGCAGTGGGCATGAGACAGCGGTAGAGAGAGGGCGTATGTTTACATGAGTGGAGGCATGCTCTGTGCACTGGTAAACAATCTATAGGCTCAAGACCCGTGACACCTTGTACCATTTCAATTGACTCTATTCTTCCACAGTGGAGTAGTGAATATCTTTGATACCTACTATATATACATATGCCAGCGAGATTAACCTATTCAGTCAACCCTCCTTGCCTGCCCCAAACTTCAATTACACTGCCAGTCAATAGACAAAAAGGGGGCCCGTAGTTCAATATGTCAATAAGGGTTAAGAATTCAGGGTAGGAGAAGTTTTTGGCGTCCTACTCAATGCGGGTGCATGCTTCTTTTAGAGTACTGCACATCCTTATTCTAAGCACTACGTGATACACATAGATTAGCATAGAAGTATATACTATAAGAGGCTGGACGGCACTTAGAACACCCACCATCTATGGCAGTTGTGTATGGACGACGTTGGTGAGGGTGTGGGGGGAAATTGGCTCGATTCCAGGCTAGATACACTCTCTAATCACTTTATCCCTCGTTTGAGCTTCCAAAGACGTAACCGAACATCGCAAGGCGAGGTTTGCGCTACTAAAAGAATTTGTCCATGTGTCCGTGTCGTAACTGTTTAGTCTCATTTGCTCCACACAAACACACACGCATTATTAACACATCCTCCGTGTTGCAATGCCAGGCATACATAGCTTTGTAGAATGCAATATGAGTCTTCCAAAATCTATTACTGCACCCACCACAAACTTACGTATAGAAAGTCGTGTACAGCAATGGGTAGCAAAGAATTCCCTTGTAATTCCATAACCTTGACATGAGGTTTGAAGTATGGCTGGCAATCCTGCATGCTTCCCGCCACCACTAGTGATCAGGTGGGTACCAGGAATGTTGGCGGCATAGCTCCTCCAGTGCTGGCTGTAGTGCGGAATACGCATCCAATCAATTTCTACCGAAGCCAAAACAAGGCGTCAGGCGACGGCTAGCTGGTAAGGGTTCCTTGCATACCAGCCACCCTTGCAGTCTGGCAAGTTGCATGTACAAAGTATGGCCCAATATCCACGTGTAGCTTTCAAAGGCAGAACTGTATAATTAACTGGAACAGATAGCTTACTCGTGAAACATCTGATAGGTAGCTGAGTTCAGACATGAGGTCATTCTGACCTGTAACACAATCTTTTTCCTTGCCCACACACAGTGCACTAGGGTGTAGTGCAAGCTAGAAATAACCACACCCAAGAGTGCACTAGGGTGTAGTGCAAGCTAGAAATAACCACACCCAAGAGTGCACTAGGGTGTAGTAACCACACCCAAGAGGTACAAAATCATCCGCAAGCTCCCTTGCCACCCCTAACACCCCAGTCCAGTGAAAGTTCCACAGCTCAGCCACATAATTCCCGAAACGAGCTGACGGCATTGCTAGCCACACACACACTCACACTCCCACATTCACTGGATCCTTCTGTGCTCAATTACTGTTTCCCTCCCCCTCTTTCACTTCTCTCTCTCTCTCTCCTCTCACTCAGATATGAGCTTCATGACTGGATTCTTGTCCTTCACAACACAATGGAGGGCTTCCACCGCCGCATGGAGAGGGTCAAAGTGCGTATGGAGCAGAGACAGCGAGCCCTGTCTGCCAGCAGCGCAGCAAGTGATAATCTCAGTTCCCAGGCTTCCCCCATCCCCACCCAGCAACCTGGAGCCACACCCCCTACTCCCAGGAGATCGATAACCACGCCCAATCGTACTCCGCCAAACGGAAGTCCAAAAACGGGCTCGTCGTCACGTCGACGACCTCGTCGCCCAGCTCCAGTAGCCCCACAACAATCAAGAGATGTACCACCGCCGTTTCCGCGGGAGACAGACCACACCCCTAACCACACCCACCAGGAGTTTCCTCGCCAGTACTCTGACGAAGGACCCATTCCCATACCCCAAGTCCCTGCGTTCTCATACGGAGGGGAGCATACAGTGCTTGACCTGGACATCACCCAGATTGAGGAAACCCTGATTGAAGAGGGAGAAGGGGAGAGGGAGGAGGAGAGAGAAGAGGAAGAGGAACGGTATGTACTTGCTCCTATTCACACCAGTAATGTGGTGAGGCCACAGGCAAACGGTGTCAGACCGATTCCATTGCACCAGAGATCAGTGTCGGACACGTCCGTCCTTCTCTATCGCGCCAACTCAGCCTCTCTCCCCGAGCTCGCAGAGCAACGGAACTCGGCCAGCCCCGAGCCAGTCTCAGACACTGTGGAGGGAGCCAAACGGCAAATCTCTCTGGATTCACCAACAAAGAAGTTCCGAATGAAGCACACGCGCCACCTCAGTCTTCTCGGGGGTGACCACCATAAACGGAAGAAGCGACGGTCGCAGATCCGCAGTCGCTCGCCGCCCAGCTACCCCCCACCACCTCCTCCGGCTGATGAGGAGAGCGGAGACGAGGTTGAGAGGACACACTGGAGGAAAGATTCATTCGGGTTCTCAAAAGTGATGCAGACAATCTCTTCCATCGACCAGGAGCTACAGGAGATGGGGGGTGTGGCTGGAGCTAACACTGCCGCTGATGTACCTCCTCCGACAATGTTCCATGGGGAAGACCCTACAATTAATCCAGCTAATGACAGCCTAGAGGAAGGGGCTCAGAGTGAAAATCCCGCTACAGTTGAAGAAAGAGGAGAAGGTGAAGAAGAAAGGCCAACCCACATTGAAATCAGGTACATCCTTTTTCAATGCAAACTGCATGTAATAAATCCTAATCAACACCGCATGCAAATATTTGTTGCCCAATCCAGTGGAATGCATTACTTATGAAAGCATCTATTCCCAAACACACACAGTCCCACCCAGCAGGCCGAGGGAAAGGAAGAGACATCAGACCGACTGCCAGCAGGTGGCTCAGCAGAAGAAGACCCATCACTAGACTCCCCCACCAAGAAGATACCTCCCCCCGTGGCAGCCAAACCAAAACCAAAACCAAAGAGAAACAAAGTCATGTTCAAAGAGGAGGTGGAAGACATTCCATCGTACGAGCCTCGTATCGATGACGAGGAAGCTCCGCCCACCGAGGAGGAAGGTTCAGAGGACATTCCATCCTCTGTGGCAGCTCTGAAAAAAATGCTGTTTGGTCAGGCGTCTACGCAGAAATACTCGAAAGAAGGTCCAATGAGTTTGAGATTTGGGGCGTTTGTGGACACAGAGGATTACGATGAGGGACTGCATGAGATGCTCACTCCTACAAGTCAGCAGGGACAGCCGCAGCTCCACGACGACCAACAGCCAAATCACCCTGATCCACATTATCAACACCTCACCACGTTCAACGACTCCACCAACAGTGAGACCGGTGGTGAGGTAGTGAGAGGAGAGGGAGAGGGAGAGGGAGGATCGTCCAGCCAGCCGTGGGAAAACGAATACGACACTCCGTGGGACTCAAAACCAATCTCCAAGTTTTCCGTGGTGGGTCATCGCGGGAAGCTGACTCCAAGCCCCGCCCACAGAACGGAGTCGTTTGAGGTTGTATCCCATACCACAGATCTCCCTGGTAACATGGAGAGGAGAAACGTGAGCTCGCTGGAGCGCCAGCTTAAAAATGACCCAACCTCTCGCGTCTCACCCCGACAGGACTTGGGGTACTCCGGAGGAACTTACTCCCAACCTTCCTCCAACCTGGAGTTCACTGACACCGGCATCCAAGACTCTGACCTCTTGCAGAGCATCAGCACCACACTACAGACGAGGTCAAAGTACGGGAGCGATTCCCTCCTAACGAGTTTCAGTCAGGGGGATGTCCCTGCTAATTACTACCAGCAGCAGGGTAGGGCTGCCATGCAACAGGCAAAATCTGGGGTTCGGTCTGCCCGAGGGGACCTTGAGAAAATCCGAACCAAACACAAGAGAGCCATAACTCTGCCCACGTCTTATTCGGGTCCACAGACGAGCAAACTGAAGCACAAGAAGGCGTTGAGTCGGAGCCACCAGTCAGTGAGTCACAGCGGAGTCACGGGTGATGGAGGGAGAGGGCAGGGAAGAGCGACTTCTTACCACGGTGGAGGCGGGCCTGCTCGCAAGGCGCAGTCAGTGGACATGCTCCAAGTTGACCCTTCGACACTCGTGACCTACAACACATACACTAAAAGCCACACCCTACAATCTCTTGTTTGAAGTGTGGTTTTAACTGTACCCATAGCAACCCCACGTGTCTAACACAAACCTGTAAGAAATGGTTGTTTGTATCAATCACACGCATTTCCCATAATCATTCTTGTGTGTCAATCAAATTTCCCATTTTAACCCTTTCTCTTCTTGGACTTCTCCCCTTCGCCCCTGTTCATTATAGCATTGTATAGAATGTTTGAACCAATGCTGTTATATTATATATCGAGCATCGTTGTATATATTGTACACTTTTCAATGCATGAAATGGAAATGATGTAATGAGGCATAAGCACAGCAGCGAGCTCTCTTCATACGATCGGCTTTGCCACGTGGTGCATTACAGCCAAACCGAATGAAAGTAGCGGAAATTGTGACATACAAACATGTACCTTTGCGGTTTTATCAGTTGGTATAATATGAAATATTCAGTTAGTGTTGAGGGTGAAGATGTATTACATCATCTGGCATCAAATACAATAACTGTGGGGAGTCAAGGAGCTAGCGGTGTGACAGTAAAAACACAGGTCACTGAGCAGTCATGGCAGAGTATATATATATTCACAAGTCAACCAACCATCCTTCCTGCCCCGACTATAATAAACTATGCAAACAGTGGCCGACCTATTAGGTCACTAATGATGGGTGTGTACTTCATTCCAATTGAGCTAACACCATTCACAGTACTGTAAACTTATCGAGGCACATCCATATGCAGTTCAGTGGGTAAGTCACTATTAATGAAGCTATGTTCAGAGAACCAACAGTGTGTGGTAGTCTTGGTAACCAAACTCATCATCAGCGAAATTTTAAAAATCACTGATCCACAAAACTTTAGTGCCTTGACAGAAATTAGACTTACCTACTGTACCTCTAAGATAGGATTTACTTGAGGCAAATGTGTGACACCCAAATGAAAATGGGTTGGATTACGGGCACCTAAACCAGCCCCAGCTAGTTACAGGACTGCGACTCGTAAGTCGGGGAAAAGATAAGGATACTTCGTTTGGTTCTCTTCTTGTACATGATCCTATACCCACACTCCCGACAACGGATTGGATCACGTGGTCTGATCTCATTCTCCCCATGGCATTCTGCAGGACATCATACGGGACATCAATATTATCCTCACGCGCATGCGGAACCGACCTCCACAGATGTAGATCATGGGCTGTTTGGTGGAGGTGCCAGCCGTGCCAGGGACGCCAGGTCCTGGCGTGGCCCCGCCTGCCGGGGTCCCCATTTCTGCCATTCTGTCAACAACTCGACACTCTCTGCAGTGTCGTCGATTTGCGCATGCGTGGTCAAAATATTGCATGCGCGCGCTGCAGCGCGTATATATACATATTGAGTTTGCCGCAAGCAAAAAGGTGAAACGACGGATCGATAACCTTGGATTTGTCGCAGATTATAGCGGACTTGGACAGCTCGACAGTTTGGTAAGTGGAATATTGCTTGTCTATCGTTACTACGAGTGCAAGCCACGAGCGGTCGCCGGCGTCAGAACGGCAGTTTTGCGCTGCATTCATCCACTGCTAGGGAAAATCCGTGCACGTTTTTGCATGAGTGACTGGCCGGTGTACAAGACTCGGGCAGGAGTATACCCGTCTAGTACGGACAGTTTTAGTTGCAAACTATTGGCCACTGTGCTTCATGTGCCATGTAACACCTTTTTGTAGGTATACCGGACACAGGTGCTGGTATTCAAGAGAATCCGTTTGTCCGGACCTTGAATAACTACTTTTGCAAGAGGAGATATTAGTTGTGTGCTGCTGCTGTGAGAAGATGGCATTCTCGAGCAGAAAGAAGCTGCGGCGCAACATGAGTGTCACGAGCAGCGAGTTTGAGTTCATGCATCGGACGTCGCCCGACTCTAGTGGGGTGTGCGGTGAGGTGGGGAGGGAGGACAGTGTGGGGGGAGAGGTGGAGAGGAGCTGCGAGTTTGAGGTCCTCCACGAAGGCTACCTGAACATGAGCGTCCGTGTGGAAGAAGAGGAGGAAGACGGAAGTGGTACGATGGCGCGGACTCTGCGCAGTCTCAGAAGCAACGGCTCATTCAGCCGCGTAAGCCCAATACACAATCCATGCAATACATGTCTCCTACGTAACTGTCCTACTACATACATATGGTACAATATTGTGTGTTAAGAGGTTGGGCAAAGGGCAGTAGTTAAGGTCTTTGTTTTCCTAATCGAGAGCCATGACAGTGCTGCTTGAGGCTGGGAAGGAGGAAGATGATGTAAAAGCCAGGTATGCACAGGTCATGTACAACGTCCTGAGTTAGTGTGACTATTTCCCTTGACTCTGGTGTGCAACTTCCTCTAGTGTGGTTATACAAACTGAGGTGGTGCTTGAGAATGACTTGGAGGTCATTCAAGGGAGTGCACTGTAATTAGTCGATTAATCTCTAGATCATTGCCATTGGACGTTAATGTGTGTGTTCTAGACTATGGGATGAGTATAATCTGCGTACGTTTGAAGCATTGATGCCGTGAAGCGGATTAGGTGTATGTATACTGGTGGTGATGTCGTGTTGATACAGAGAAAGAGGGCATATATAGAACGAACCAGTCACAGTGTAGCCAGTGTCTGTGGCATAGAGAGCCCAGTGTCAACATTTCTGATTGACTCTCTTTGTTCTATGGTATTGCTGTGCCCCGCGCAGCAGCTGCTAACAGAACTCCTCAATGGAGTAAAGAGAACCAGCGGCATTTCTGCTGCTGCAGTGACATTTGTCTCTGCTGGGGATGTTTTCAGAAAAAACTGCTGATGGTAGGAGAGCACTGTGCCACTGTCAGTGTACGTAACACTGTTTCCAAACACTGCGTCTTGATTCTCCAATTTCTGAGTCTACTGCTCCGTAATCATCCACCATGCGGTGCTTTCAGTGCCCCTGGCAACCGCAGACTAGTCTGACAAATATTTAAAAGGGCTTCTTGGGTGTCACAGTGTTGCGTCAGTAGCTAGTGGTCCAAATGACATAAGGATGGGTGTCTGCGGTATTGGTAGGCCATACCAAGCCATTAGTGCTCTCATCCATTGAATGTGGATGTGGATGTGTGTACTGCATGTGTACACTGGCCATGTAAGGAAGTTGTGTGGGGCGAACCATCACCGAGTGTTGTTGACTTGGGACACATTTCAGTTTGTGTTAGTTGAATGCGCGTGTTGTGGTAACTACTGCCACATTTCAGGGTCCCATGTGCTGTTACTCTTGAACTGAATAACAGGGATATAGGGTAGCTGGAGCCTGTTTTTGTAAGGTGTACTGACAAATCGACGTTGACCTGCCCACTCAGCTATCTCTCATGGTATTTTAATCAGAGTCTATATATGGACATGTTCTATATATAGACCATTCGGGCTCACTTTTCCAATGTATCGGCTGTAGACAGTCCCTATTGGTTCAGAGGTGGTAGTACTTAATCCGTGAGGGTTTCTCTAACAACTGGTGTGCAACGTGAGGTGTCCTGTTAGACACTGGTCTATAGGGTCTCCTTCCTTCCCCAGCGGGGGAACGGTATGCCACCCATGTCCCTTTGTCAACAGTGTGGTCAGGGTCAGAGCTCCGACTGTGCCCGTGTAATGAGGCTGTGGGAACGTGCTACCCTCAATTGCAGCTGTAAGGTATCTCGGAATGCAGCGTGGCGGCCACCTGCTGCCACTTTAGCCTGCCGGAACACCAGGATAGACTCTTTCCTACACACAGCTCTTCCCTCATGCCCCCTGCCATGCCTCCCTCCGTCTTCCTCTTATCCACCCACGATCAGCCAATGTGATTGGGTGGTCTCTGGCCTTCTAGATTTTCATTTACAGAAGGTGTCAGTTGAGTCTGGGAAGATGTGTGAAATCTTTTTTGGCACTGCTTCGGGCTAAATGGTCTCTTAGGTAATGACATAGGACACACATATGGCAATTATCTTGGACGGTTTCATTTCTCTACCGTCATTTGTGGTGATTCTCATCTCTCCGGGAAAGATGTCCCTGCGAGACACGATGGCAGAGGCTTCCTTTGTATCAATTCCAATTCCTCGTGGAGTGAAACCCTGTGTTTACAAACCTCGTTAACCACAGCAGGAACACCGCGTCTTTGCTGCTTCTCGGGACATCTGCTCCCAAAACGAGAAGCTCCTTAACCTCCCATTCCCTCTCCTCTCACTCTGTACATGCAGAGCTCTAATACACCCATACTCTGAGAGACTCAGCAAAGCATATGGCAACGCACCTGAAATTCAAATACCGGGATCGCGCTGACCATCACCGTATTAGGCTATGGGAAAGAATGAGTCGTAATTAGTAAGGATTTCGGTGGTCTGTTTATTCAGTCGCAGTTGGTAGTAATGGCTGTAGACTCTAGAATAACCGACGGAAGTACTTGGCCACTGTCTGGAGTACTACAGTGGCTAATTTGTTAATGGAGAGATATTGCAGTGACACCTCCAGCAAAGCCTAAGTTCAGAGGAATGGAGATGCTGAGTTCAGTAGGACACTATAGAGTCAAGACCAGGTGTTCTACTCTTGGTGTGCTGTGGTTGACAGTGCTGGGGACATAGCATAACTCTGAGTGGGTGGCAACTGTGGGGAACTATCAAAGGGTGCTCTAATACAACTCCAATCAAACAGCAATCAGGCACTCGTTGTGTTGTCAGTAACTTTACCATTGGAACGTGCAGTTTAGGCAATATTGAGGTGACACTAGATCTGCTTACACCCTCTGTTTCTCCACTTTCTCTCCTCCCTCCCCCTCTCCCTCCCCTCTCTTTCCCTTCCCTCTCCCTCCCCTCCCTCCCCTCTCCCTCCCCTCTCCCTCCCCTCTCTTTCCCTTCCATCAGAGCTGGAAAAAGCGGTGGTGTGTCCTCTGTCGCACGGAAGACGGTGTCAGCATCTTCTACTACAACAAGAAGTCCAGCTACACTAACCTGGATGTGCCTGTTGGGATATTCTTCATGGAAGAGTGTCGCAAGATTTTCACCGTTCCAAGCCATCCCAAGTCCCGCTGTGTGTTTGCCATGGACTTCCCCTACAGAACGGTCAACTTATACCCCGAAAAAGAGTGAGTAAATCCCTTTAATTGACTTTAGATGTGCCTTACTCTGCAATAAAATTCACACCCTTTAGTTAAGCTCTCATTTTCTACTACGCTCTCTGATCAGGTTTTGCCAATTTTTTGAAGTTTGCCTTTTGCAACCTTTTTAGAATGGGGTCGACTAGCTGTCTCACTAAGTTAGCTACTAGTGTTGTCGGTATATTTCGCAACAGTTTATTATATCAGCTTGGCATGCACTATACAGAGCAACTATACATGAACTCAGGATGTTTTGAAATGAGCTAAGGGCCTGTATAAAGGAAGTTCCACATACTTGGCCTGTGAGTCTCTGTGTGGATAGTGGCTTCCAGGAAGGCCTGGGTAGGCCTGGGTAGCCATATGCCATGTACCAGCCGTGTGTGTACTGTTTTTAGATGAGTGGGTTGATGTGGTATTATTAGTGTTGCTTTATGTGTATTAGTGTATGTGGAATATGGCAGCATATGCCGAGAGAGTAATTTGCGTAGTTTGTAGTCGAATTAGTTCGCAGAGTTCGTCTGTTTATGTCTCTCTCTCTCTCTTCCCTCCAGACACCAGTTGTCTGACTGGCTAGACATATTCAAGACAAGTCTGCGGCTCACGGAGCACTCTGCCCCTCCTCCCCCTCCTCCCCCGGCTCCCCCCAGCTCCCGATCCTCACCCCCTCTCCTCTCCTCCCGCTCCTCCTCCTCCCTCCCTCTCTGCCTCTCTCTCAGAGCACCCAAACCAAAGGCCCTCAAGAGAGACTTCAAAAATTGCAGAATTGAGGAGGAAGAGCCCGGAGTTATTCTTGCTAGGGCGGTCGTAAGGAGTGCAGATTGCGCAACAGACAGAGACAACAAATTACCGATTACTGGGTCAGCCCCTGGTGGTGGAGTCAATTACCTCACTCTAGCATCATAAGATCATAAATCAAATGCAGAAAATCAATTTCATCTCTTGTATTATTATCATGTTTTCAGACTTCGGTTTTACGCATGCGCAGTTGCAGTATCTATGGCAACCAATAAATAGTCGTGTGTGCACATGGCGCGAATCTATCCTCAAGAGCGCCTCGATACTCTGTCATAGCGGCTCTATAACCGTTGAGTGGTACAAGACAGGGGACGGTATGCCGATCAAGTTCAGCGTGAGGAAGAAGAAGAAGGGTAGCGGGCCGGCCGACGTATCGGGAGAGGGGGGGTGGGACACGGCGAGTGTCGCTAGCTCTGCATCCAGCAGTGAGTCAGCTCCTCGTTAATACAACCATAGGCTCCATCTTTCACTGATCCCTGTGTCGCTCGCAGTGGTCGGCGGTGTGCAGAGCGTTTACAGCGTGCAGAAGATCAAGAGCCTTCCGAGGCTGCACCGTGCAGTTGTGAAGGGAAACTTGCCCAAAGCCAAGAAACTATCACTGCGCATGAAAACCGGCGAACTCAACGCCACAGACAAGGAAAAGAGGTAGTCCAGCATTATCCCAAAACCTAGCTGCTGTACCGTGTCTGTGTGCAGGACGGCTCTCCATTATGCTTGTGCTGGAGGTCAGGAGGAGACGGTGGGTCACCTCTGCAGTGAGCTCAGAGCTGACCCAAACGTCAGGGACAGCAGTGGCTGCACTCCTCTCCACAGAGTAAGCATAAGTCCCTATAATAACTACACCAACCCCATTAAACATACAATGAACTGTTTATGAATTCGACATTATTCCAAAGTTGTCAGTGCAGTGTATCAATGCAACGTACTATTATCTTCCCCCACAGTGCATACAGGCTGGCACGTCCACCGTGTGCATCAGCAAACTAATCGACGCTGGGGCTAGAGTTAACGAGGCCGACAGACAGGGGCGCACCCCTCTACACGAGGCTGCAGAGAGAGGTCGAAGTGACGTCGTCGCAATACTGCAGACACACGGAGCCAACGTGGAAGACATGGAAATGGTAACACACACACACACACCAGAGTGCATTCAGGAATAATCATTACTCCATATCTCTGTTCTTTATTTCGTTCAACGGAGGTGTAATATTATAGTTCGGTCTTGGTTGCTTTTCAACTGCACAATTATACTATGAATTTTGGCAGTATGCTTTACAGAAGAGCTGCTCCACTCTTGTGAAGATAATTATAGTTCTCAGTGCAGTTATAGGCTACCATGAATCGGTGTATATACTGCAGGCTGGGAATACAGCTCTCCATCTGGCAGCCACAGGAGGTCACAGTCAGATAGTCTCCCAGCTCATACGAGATGGAGCCAACGTCAACACCACCAACGGACAGGAGCTGTGAGCCATTCATTTACAATACAACATCCTTCCTTTGAATGAAGAGCTGACAAAGCACACGAAAGTTCACGTAGAATGAACCTGTATACGGACTAATGTTTGCCATCGTGCTGACTCCCTTACATTGTACTGAATGAGAGAGGCTAATAATAGAGGCTGCTGTGTGTGTGTGTGTAGGACAGCTCTGATGCTGGGTGCGAGGGAGGGTCAGGGAGAGGTGGTGAGGACTCTGTGCGAGGCAAAGGCAGACCCAGAGCTCCGTGACCAGAGGGGACTCAGTGCCACTGACCTCGCTCTCAGGAGCAACCACCAGCAGTCAGTGCTAATATCGCACACTTAGAACATTGTGCCACCATAGATACAGTACAGTAAGGGGTGGGTCTGACTTATCTAAAGAAAGACCAATAAATTTCGAGGACTCGGAGTAATTTTTGTGAAGATTTTTCTACATACATTCGTATTTCGCCAACGTTTAGAGTATATCTCACTATACAATGTACGCATGTTATTCTGCCGACTTGCAGCTGTGCCCGAGTGGTTCAGGAGCATCAGATGAACTGGAGCAGAGAGACGCTGACACACACAGCCTCACACCCTCACCCCTCCCACTCTCCACTCCCCACACCACCCTCACATCATCACCACTCACTGCAAGGTCAGCACATTACACATACACTTTTGTTGTTCAGTTTTCAGCTTGTTCTTCTGCAGATTCTTGGAATTCCGAGAGTGAGGGAGAAGGTGTGGCAGATGGTCCCCTAGGGAATTTTCAGACCCCCAGAACTGGGGGGCTGAATCTTCGAGAGGCCATGGCTCGCTCAACTACAGTCACGGCTAATGGAAAAGATGATGCGAAGGAGCAAAGAAGCCCACCTCTGGGACCACGGCCACCAGTGGGTGTGACCAACGAGGAGCCACGCCCACCTGTGGGTGTGGTCAATGTGGAACCACCCCCACCAATGGGTGTGGTCAGTAAGGAAGTCAGTGATGAGAGCTACAGTGACTGGGACAATGAGGAAGTAGACCACGCCCAACAGACTGCAGACTCCGCTCACATACCAGCTGTGGGCGGAGCTAGCAGAGAGCTGTCTGCAGTGCAGAATGGGAAGAGGAAGGGAGAGGAGGAAAGGAAGGAGAGGGAGGGAGAAAGAAGAGATGATGAAGTTGGAGATGGAATGGGAATGGACCTGGAAGAGGACTCAAATCTCAGTACGGAATCGGAGCCTGACCTCCCAATGTTTGGAGGGTACACCCCCAGCAGTGGTCCCCGCCCCCTACCTCAGGGTGAACTCTCCCCATCTCGACACCTCAGAACCCCATCACCCACTCCCACCTCACCAACCATTGTTACTCCTCTCTCTGCCACTACTGGTAAGCTAAGCAAAGTTGGTGCTTCAAAGCATGGTTCACAACACAAAATTTGAATTTGGTGTTTTAAATACTTCATGCTTTATTTCCTACCAATCAGACACCTGTAATGAAGTATTGTCATTTGTTGTGACGTAAATGAAACTATGCAATTAGTAATCTCAACTGGAACTGTATTGTGTGTGTGTGTAGGCGGACTGTCTCCAGTGGAGGGTCACAGAATGGACCTGTTGCTGATTGACGAGAGAGACGGTCCTAACGGACAGGGGCTTACCCTTCCAATGGAACACGAGGAGGTGGGCACCGAGAGAGAGAAGTTGGAGAGGGACAAGGAAGTAAGCAACACTGAGGTGGAGGAGGGTGAGATTGGAGCTGAAGAGGAGGAAGGAGAGGAAAGCTCAGTGTCAGAAAGAGACGTGGATGCTGCGGCCGCGAAGAGGAAGTACGAGAGAGATAACGAGTTTCTGCTCACATTCCAGGCCAGACAGAGGAGACGGGAAGAAGCTACCCGTCCCGATTCCAAACCAAATTCAATTCCATTCCCAACCCCCCAGTCCAATACTCCCAGTCCTGATGACAGTACTGGCATCGCAGGTGATGATAACACAGGATATGGGTCCAGAGTACAACTAATGAAGGAACAGTGGGAAAAGGGTATACCCCTGCAATTACCAGCCTTTAACGGACCTCGATTGGTTCTAGGAGACAAGAAAGAAGGCGGAGCTTCGGTGATGGGTGTGGCTAAAGAGACTCCAGTTGGTGAGGGTGGGAAAGAAGGGAAAGAAGGGAGAGGAGGGGGAGGAGGGAGAGAGGGGAATTTTGAAGAGAAGAGTGGGGGAGGGAGGAAGAGTGGAGGAGAAGGAGAAGGAAATGATGGAAAGTTTGGAGCAAACAGTGGAGGGGGGAGTGGGGGAGGGGAAGGAGGGAGTGGGGGTGATGACAGAAAACCCAACAAAGACGCAAGTGATGAATCGGAAGAGGAAATTGAGGAGGAAGAAGAGGGAGAAGAAAGAGATCTCCATGGGTTTTCATCCCGGACTCCGCTGCTCCAGTCCTCACGTCCGAGACGTTCCTCGAGCCACTCCGATGATCACTGGGACTCTGAGTCCTCTGCTGACGACCCCCTCCCCCCTCCCCCTCTCCTTCATTCCACACTCCTCACCTCCTCCCCACTCTTCACACCCTCCCACCGCCTCACCTATCACACCCTCACAAACACCAGGAGTGCGGAAGAAGAGAGGAGGGAGAATGAGGGGACAACAGGTGAGGACGAAAACAACAGATCGTCGGCCACCATCACTCCAAAGTCACATGACCCAAAGGTGGAGTCACATGATCAATCATGTGACGTCTCAGCTGCTCACAGGTTTGTTGTGCACAGCGTAACAAAAGTACGTTCATGTTCATCTTGCACGTTTTTAGTTCATTAATGCTTTTAGCCTGGCAATTGTGTTTATGAAACTTCTTTGCAAATCTTTTAGCAGCGACAGTGGAACCTCCTAACCTTAGAGAATTGTGTTCTGCTCCACATACATACAACACAACTTTATGACTGCAACACCTTGTCCTGTCCCACAGCCATCTAAGCTCCGCCCACCATTCCCTGCTGGACTCGTCGGCCCACCAGAGTCACCTGCTAGCAGCCAGTCTCCACGACACACAACTCAGCCTCTCTCGCTCGCAGAGATCTGCCAGGTATATACAGCAGACACAACATTGACACACTGCGGACCGTAGTGCTCTACCCCGCGAAGCACTCCCGGTGGCTTTAAAAGTCCCAAATACGCATCCTAACATGCATGGTCTATTTGAAATTAATAATCCATTCTATTTCTCTCTTACTAGTGCGCATTTCTGCCGTGATCGATATATACCTAGCCTACCCTGTTAACTGTCGAAGCTACCTTCCAGCATTAGTGGTCTGTGGATCTCTGTGGTCGTCTTGCTACATGTTTGACCTGCTGAACCCAGGAGTGTGGAGGAGGGAAGAAGGAGAGTGCAGGCCCAGCTGGAGGAAGAACAGCAGAGACTGGCCGAGGCCAACACTGCCAGACAGCAGCTAGAGTCCGCCAAACTGGACCTCGAACTAAAGGTACATACGTGACACATGTGGGCAGAATAAATGTTACCCCATTACATATTGATGTGGCAGCAAGAACGGGGCCTTACATCATTACATCACTACTACATCTTTGATATTATGTGAGCCCTTTGACTAATGGCCAGAATAATATACCAGTGAGGTGCCCTTGTTTCAGCCCCTCAAATTGAGAACAGTTTCTGCACGAATGTTCTTGAGGGACAAAAGGTAGCGTTTTCTTCAAATGAAGCACTGTGACTCACACACTGTTCTGTATTTGACTATGTGCACAGCTACGAGGGGTGGAGTACCAGTTACAGGAGGAGAGAGAGGCCGTGCGGAGTGGCCAGTCTGGGACGGTGGTCCTCCGAGAGCAGGTGGCAGCGGCAGACGAGAGACTCGGCAGGGAGATGGACCTGCGCAGGCGGCAGAGCTCCAGAGACGAGAGGCGGAGCTGGTGGCCGAGGGAACCTGGTGACGAGTCAGCAGCTGCAGGAGAGGCTGGCAGAGACCACGGCTCAGCTGCATGCCGAGAGAGAGGCAAAGGCCGTGCAGGTACGTACAGATTACGGCAATTTTAAATACTCAAATACCTATGAATGGTCAACTAGGAGAAATCTAGTCAGCTTAGTTTCCTCTGAACTACTTTGAAAAGGAAATCGGCATGTGTCAAAGTTATACTAATGAGTATGGAAGTAGCTACGTAGGGGTGGCCTTAATATTCCGTACTTCTTCTGGTGAGGAATGATGATATTTGTGAAGTGTACTTATGTGCACAATTTGGCGGAGAAAGATTTTCGCCAGATAACTCTCAACCTTCAAATATTTGTGAAGGTTTCGCCTAAATTTTTCACTATCAGTGTGTCTCTGCCCTGCTCTCACAGGAGGGTCTGTATAGAGAGCAGCTGCGACTGAGTCAGGAACTGCAGGCCGAGTCCGCGAGGATCCAGGAACAGAAGACGGAGGTCAGAGGTCAACTTGAGGCGGCAGTAACGAGCCGGCAGAGTCTGGAGGAGCAGCTGCAGCGACTTCAGAGAGAGAACACACAGCTACAGGTGAGTGTGTGTGTGTGTGTGTGTGTACCGAGAGAAAGAGAAGGAGTTGGTGTGTCTGTTCTGCAGGTGGAGTTGAGTGGGGAGAGGTGTAGGGGAGAGGAGGGGAGGGGGAGACACGAGGGAGAGGTGAGGGAACTCAGGGAGAGACTGACAGAGAAGACAGACAAACTGGTCTCCTCTGAAGATGCTCTACTGGCTGCACGACAGAAGGTATGCCATAATAGAGATTGTGAGCATCGACCGTGTGTGAAATAATCCACTGGATGTTTTTTTTCACAAAACAATACCTGACCAACTCTAAGTCTGGTTTAACCCCTTGCCCACTGTAGTTTCAGATGGACCTCGTTAGCCTCACTACCCAAGTTTAACTCCTTGTCCACTGTAGTTTGAGGCGGACCTGGGGGAGCTGAAGAGGAAGGAGGAGACTCTGTCGTCTGGTCTGGAGTCTGAGCTGGTGGCCAGGCGGCAGGCAGAGTCTGAGAGAGACCATGCCAGGAGCCAGCTAGAGAAGGCCTCGCGTACTCTCCAGGCCACCACAAGGAGGTGAGGGGTTAAATAATGTGTGAGATGAGAGAGAGAGTAGTGAGTGTGGTGAGAAGTAATTTGTCATTGATGAACTCTTTGTTTAAGGAATCTTGTGCAGCTGTATTTTCGAAGAAAGAACACACTTTCATGGTCCTTTAGTCCAAAACATAGCACCAGATTCCTTAATCTATAACATTGTAGTCCAAATCTGCTGTCATAGATTGAAGAATACTAGTAAACATAGTACTACCTCCACTGTTCACCTGTCTCCACAGGGCAGTGGGTAAGGAGAAGGAGCTACAGAAGTCAGTAGAGGCCATGAGAGGAGAGAGAGAGACGGCAGAGAGGGAGCTGGCGAGGGTCCAGGCCCAGCTGGAGCAGATGACCTCACAGACCCTGACCCTGGAGGGCCGGCTGGGACTGACAGAGACCCAGCGAGCCGAGCACACCGCTGCCATGGCCGAACGGACCAATCAGATTGCAGCGCTCCAGAAAGAGGCGGAGCAGTCTCAGCAGCATGTGTCGTCACTGGAAGAGGCTCTGGAGAGAGAAAAGGTCTGTCTGAGAAACTTCTGTATGTTGTAGGACATGTTTACCCAGGAGGATGGGTAGCACAACATTAATATTGACAAACTATATAGAACCGATGAAACACGTTTTTGGGAAATGCAACTGCTCTTGGAAATGTTCATACAGTACATTGTCGAGTGGGCAAAGATGACATCACCCCTCACTCCTCTGTCGTGCAGGCAGTGTGTGATGAGAAAACCAGTCAGCTAGGAGCCAGAGAGAGAGACCTGGCCTCGCTCCAGTCAGAGGTGGCCAGACTCAAGGACCAGCTGGGGGCCTCGCGAGAGAGACTCGAGGATAGAGAGGCTGACGCCGGACGAGAACAGAGCAGGAGCCGGGAGCTCCTGGAGAGCCTGAGGTCAGAGTTCAGTGCTGCTCGGAGCGGTCTCGAGGAGCGATGTCGGAGTCTGGAGGGTGAGGTGGCGGAGTTGAGGGAGGAGGGGGTGAGGAGGGAGAGGGAGGACAGGGAGAGGGTGAGAGAGGCAGAGAAACTACAGTCACACCTTCAACAGGCTACTGAGGTATGTACAGTACATGATTGTGAACGCACAATGGATCCCTGACATATATACAAACCACCAATTTTACTGCAAAAATTAAGGGTTTCAAGTTCTAAATAATGCCTTCACATGCCAACTGTGTTCGTATCAGTCTTTGTGCTGTGTATATATATTAATTGTGTATTTTGATGGTTAATTGGTTGACGTGGGTAAGCCCCTGTAATTAGGACGACTAATGAGGCTGAAGATTGTCTCCCTCCCACAACAGGCGAGGGAGAAGGTGGAGAGTGAGTTGAGGAGAGTCCAAGAGTCGTATTCATTACTGGAGAATGGCAGGAGACAGGAAGAACAGAGAACTACTGAGAAGGAAGAGGAGGTGTGTACGTACGTGCATGTGTAGGGTGTAACATATTTCAGACTGCAGATTGGACTGATTTTTGTTCCTCACAAAGTGGGAGTGGTATAGATTACACCACACATACTGAAAGGCTGAATTTGATTCGAACAATAGCATCCAATTTTGTTATGACAGACTGATGTAAAGAGATGTCCAGTGACCTTATTGACCTTCCTTCCTCTCCCTGTCTGTTCTCCTCAGCTGGCGGCACTGCGGAAGGCAGTAGGTGAGGGAGAGAGGGAGAAAGAGACACTTCAGCAGGAGTTGCTGGCTCTGAGGGAATCCCTGTCCAACAGGTCACTGATTAACCACATGTCAACCATGCTCTCTGAGGACACCCATCTCTAGTGAAATGACGACACTTCTCTAATAAGGACACTTTGTCTGTCTCATTGGTGTCTGGGTTAGCTCTGGTTTAGCTGTTCGCATTCAACTTGCGTACTAACTTGCATGCAAAGCCCTGAGGTGAGAACTGTACTAGGTAGCTATAGACCACAAAGAGCTGTAGACCACACCCACTGTTGTTGTGTCTGTGTTCCAGTGAGGAGAGAGTGAGGGAGGTGACAGCGGAGTGTGGGGAGGAGGTGAGGAGGGAGAGGGAGGACCTGGGGAGACAGGTGAGGGAGGGGAGGGAGAGGGAAGAAGGTCTCCGAGGTGAACTGACTGCCCTGAGAGAGGTGAGACCACACCCACCACGATGTAATCAATAATTCACACAATATTTCTACCATGATTAATCTGTACCGTATAGTTAGTTTACATCCACATAAGATATACAAGTCTCTGGCCACTGTCCTGAGCAAATAGTCTTTCTCATGTCATCTGTTTGATGTAATGTATATATAGGCAGGACCTTACTTCCCCAAGGTTTTGTAATTAGTAAACAGATGCAGTAGTAGAACATACTGGGAAAGGTATTCTGTGGGCATCGTACTACAGAAGGGGATCCACCTCATTGCATAGCTGAACGGTTGCATCATTTTGATTGCCAATTTGGCAAGGGAACTCGACAAAATTATGGCTGGCTCTGAAGACCACTCTCTGTCAGTAGTAGCTGGTGCTTCCCCTGGGGTGGTCCTTTTTCCTCATTACATCATCACGACGTAATCATTGCAAGGAGCTGTATACTCCATTTCGAGTGTCACATGAGAACTGGTTAGAGTAGAGACAATATGTTGCCTTTTTCGTCATTACATCATCACGACGTAATCATTCCAAGGAGCCGTATACTCCATTTCGAGTGTCACATGAGAACTGGTGAGAGTAGAGACAATATGTTGCCTTTTTCGTCATTACATCATCACGACGTAATCATTCCAAGGAGCCGTATACTCCATTTCGAGTGTCACATGAGAACTGGTGAGAGTAGAGACAATATGTTGCCTTTTTCGTCATTACATCATCACGACGTAATCATTCCAAGGAGCCGTATACTCCATTTCGAGTGTCACATGAGAACTGGTGAGAGTAGAGACAATATGCTGCCTGCTGTCATTGAACAAGAGTGTCCTAGAAATGTTGTGTCGTCTATCATGGCCTTTAGGATATTTTCCCAAAGTGGCATAATATTATAGGGACTTGTACATTAGCAATGTAAGTGAGCCATTGCAAGCATTGTAGACACACATTGTGTGAGTCACAGAGAAACAGTGTGTGAGCAGATGCAATATTTATGCACTATGCAATGGCAATGCAATGGCAAGATTTAAGTAACATATGTTAGCAATACATATGTTAGCATGTAATGTTAGCAGTACAGCAAAAGAGAAGTATGTTAGCAGTACAACATAAGTACTGGCACCACACAGAGTGGGCCACGTCAGGAGAAGGCCGGTACGGAGGAGGTTGTGGAACACGTTGTCGCCACATAGGGACATGTCCAATCAGGGAGCTAATGGCAGGGGGCAAACAGCCGTGGCAGAGGAGCATGGCTGTGTGTTGTTAGAGTTGCTGCAGTTAGGGTGAAATGAGGGGACTTGTGTCCAGTGAGTCTAACATTGGACGACTTTTCCTCCTGGAACACACACACACACTCCTACCTAAATACCATAGCACCTTACTCGTGGTACCACCTTTAATTGAGCTGTTACAATTCAGTGAGTATTTTTCATTCTTAACTATGAATCCTTGCTAAATTTTTGTGCACACTGCTGCATAATGTTGGTCGGTGAATGAACGAGTGACCTCTGTGACCTCTGTGACCTCTCCACCCAGGAGAGGACAAGACTCCAGGAGGCGGTGAGCAGGGTCAAAGGTGAAGCCATGCAGCTGCGGGACGAGAAGGAAGCCGTACAGGTGTCCCTCCAGTTGTGTCAGAGAGAGGCGACTGAGGCGAGGGGGCTGTGGGAGACTGAGATCAGGTCCAGGGCCTCCATGTCCCTCCGAGTGAGCCCCCCCCCCCCTCTCTCTCTCTCTCTCTCCTCAGGATCTCTCATTTCTCTGGTCCCCTGAGGTGCAGGGCTTTTTAAAACACTAGAAAGAGCTTTTCTCTTCCCTGCCTCCCTCCTTCCTCTCTATTTACTTATGTCTGCACACACTGCAGGATAATCAACCTTGAAAACCTAAATTTTTTACCCAAACAATGAAATTATCCTGGTGGAACTACAAACCCTTGTGATAATGCTGGAGATATTGCACAAGTTGTTCACAAAGACGTATGCTTTCCACAATAGGAAACTGCTAAGAACGCAGTAATGAAACCCAATAGTACAGTATGTGCTAATTAGGCAGACACACACACTGAGCCTTCTCCCCAACACTAACAACGTAGGTACGTATGAATCTCCTTCGTTCTTCTCAGTACTGGACAGGGGAACCCTTGTCTTCTGCACTCTCTGCACATAGCGAGAAGTCTTTACTAACAAACAGAAAACATCATCGATTACTGCGGCATGTTGTGGGTTCACAACGTGTCTGGCACATTCCAATGGTGCTTCTGTTGTACCACTGTAACATTGTATGTATGTATGATTCAAATCACTGTGTGTATGTATGTCCACACAGCTTATGGAACTGGAGAAAAGTCAACAGGAGGCGAACCCTGCCATCGAAGCTGTAAGTACGTAGTATGGGAATTTGTGGTCAGTGACTTGGTGCTCTGCTTCATTTAGCTCCTCCCTCACATTCCTCCATCTTTCTCCTCCTCTTCCTCCCCAGGCAAGACGGATCGCACACAAGGCACAGGAACTGAAAAAGGTATATTACATATATAGACCCTCACAGATGAACCAATTGATCCAAACAGTTGTGGTTTTCTCACAGGCGGCTGAGGGGAGATACGAGGCTCTGCAGGAGCACTGCACGGGGCTGGAGAGAGAGGTCGCCGACCTTCGGGCGGAGCTACGGGAGGCTCGGGCGGCACTAGAGAAAGGGGCGGAGTCTCAAAAGATCGGCAGTCACGAGGCTGAGCTCTCTGCCCTCAGACAACAGGTGGGGATTAATTAGAGGGGCGTAAATTGCATAAAAAGTGCTCCACATTATGCATAATATGCATGGTGTGAGGATAAGATGAAAGGAGCATCTCTTTAACTTTCCCACTGTTATAATTATTATTCATGAAAGAAAGTTTGCAAACAATTTGATTCGGCTAGTGTTTGTTGAAATGGCCAATTTTTAAACATGTCAACATCTTTAGTGTAGCTATTGACTGTCAAATTTATTCTTCAACCTTGTGCAGTAATGTCCAACACAAGGTTCTAATCATTGAAGAGGAGATAATATTATCGTAAACGTGTGTACAGTCATGATAGTCTGTGGTTCCTGCAGGATAAGTGGCCTGATGTGTTATACTACTACATTTTGATGACTCATTAGCCTCTATAACTGTCTTGCGGGCCTGTTAATTGTGTTGTGGCTCCCAGGGACCAGGGCAAACATGTTGTCTTCTTAATTACATCAGTCTACACGTGCATACATACAGTATGTGTCTAGATACCTAATCCAGGACAGAAGATAGTATCAATATGTATACCTTATTTCAGTGCACAAATGAACTGTCCTTGGGGAAAGAAAGTGTCCTTATTAGAGAGGTGTCCTCATTTCAGGGGTGTCCTGTAATGCCTCATTGGGTCCCATGCATTTCTATAGGGGCTGAATTAAAGATTGTTGTATGTATCTCTCTGTCTCAGTTGGGGGAGAGTCAGAGGCAGTTGGTGAGGGAGATGGAGGGGAGGGCGAGGGCAGAGGAGACTGCCAGAGAGACCTCTCAACAAATGGCCACCCACAGAGGGTCCTTCTTGGAGAAGGTGACACCAATCTTGATAAAACTGGCATTAATAATACCCACCGAGTTTATGACTAGTAAACCATGAAATTATAGTTCATAGCATACCAGCCATAGGTATATAGATAGATAGCCATGCACTGGTGGAAACACAAGAGTAGACATGACGATGACGTGTAGTATGTGTCCCCAGGAGGTTCGTCGCCTCACGAGGGCCAAGAGGGAGTTGGAGGGAGAGGTGAGGAGTCTGGAGGACACCATGGCCTCCTCCATGGTGGACCGCAGCGTCTTGGACACAGCTGTCAGCAGGGCTGAAGAGGAGGTGGGCCTGTCTCTCTCTCTCTCTCACACACACACACACTCTCTTCCCTCCCCTCTCTCTCTCTCTCTCTCACACACTCTTCCCTCCTCTCTCTCTCTTTCTCAGGCTCACCTGAAGCTCAGTCAGAAGCTGCAAGAAGTCAACACCCACCTCCAACAGCAGGTAACAGTAGAGAACTGCTAACAGAACACCAAACAGTTCAGGCTCACGAGTGAAGATTAAAACCCAACTTACATGGGAGGGAGAAAAGGGGAGGGAGGCTAACACTAAAGGGGAGGGAGGTAAGTGAGGATGACAGTGCTGCAGATGGCACCAATCATGAACTACGATAGTTACGTAAGTGCCCCCACATGCAGTCCCTGGTTCACGCCAGTCTCCAGAGAAAGACAGAAGTGGAGATCTCTGAGACGAGGGAGGGGCTGCAGAAACAGACCGCTCTCACCCACAAGTTCAAGGTACGTGTTCATGTCTGTACATGGCAGGTATGTATGTGGTTGCTAGGCAAATGTGAGGCAACTACCATAAGCCCAAGCACAACGAGATAGTAGATACATGCACATACTTCAATACGACAGTATTAGTGAAAGTATTTGTGAGGCTAGGGACCCAGAGTATGGTAATTATTGTCAAAGAACACCTAAATTAGGTGGAGTCATCTCCTTGGAGCAGTGTAGTGTTTTTTGGAATCAACAACTAATGAATTAGTTACGATTGAATATTTTTGGTACTATTATTATGTGGGAATGTGATGTAATCATTATAATTCATTCTCATGAATTATGCTAACAACATCTGTTGTCCATGCCTGGTTGATGTCATACTGCAGTAATCATAGTGAACTATTTAAAGAGACATACACACAAACAATGTTAACATAAACAACTGCCGCAAACAATAGCGGGTCTGTTATTTCATCTCCAGTGTACCTAGTGTCGTCCATACATTAGTGTCGTCCATGTACCTATTACCTATGTACTGGTTGACGATGGCTCCACATGTCTTAGTACAATTGGCTTTACATAACATTGCGTAACAGGTCTTGCTGGTATCGGCTCCAGTCCTAATAATAGCTGTACATAAGTACCGCTTGAATTACCTGCTGTCTGGAGTAATAATCTATGGTGTCACCCAATTCACTATTGGTACTAAGTTTCCAGAGGAATTTGATCCACTAGACCCGCCCTATAGTAATTACATATGGCGTCTAATTACCTAAGCATTATACAGGGGCAAAGGAGAAATCTGATACATCAACTACAACACGTAATATCTTCCATTAGAATTGCACGTGGCGTCGCCTATCTCTGCAAGGACTACCTATACATTAGTTAATGCACCCGGTAGCATTACGGATGTAAGTATAATTATTGTGGCGTCTAGTGTCCCTAATTTGTAGGTAGGTATTTGATATAATACCCACAACGCCATGGTTAATGCATCAACATTCTCATTGGGAGAAATAAACTAGGCGCCTCCTGGTACATATATACATTGAGAGTCTCCATTACTGTATGGCACTTGTCAACAAGACAGGTTCAGTGTGGATGTTCCCCTCACTACAATACCAACTGTTCCTATAGTGCACTTCACCTGATTCTAATGTCTATTCACCGCTCTATGTGAGTGGCTCTATGTGAATGGCCCTAGCTGGCTCAGGGGGCAGAGTATTATTCAACCACCTATTCACCAACAAAAATATATTTTACGTGAGCGTGGAGAAAATGTGGAGATGTAGTAATATAATATGAATATGCTCAGTGTGTAGGTGCCTATAGCAAGTCTCTGATCCTAGCTGTACAAAGATCTTACAAAAGAGAGCTGGACATAGAGAAGGAGGAGGAGGAGGAGGAGGGTCTAATGCCATTGAGACTCACCATTCACATAACAGGATCGCCAGCCAAGTCCCACACACACACTGTACTAATTGTCTTATTGCCTTCATCCAAGAGTTCTGTCTTACTGAGACACAGAGAGAGAGTGAGTGGGGGTGGGGTGTGGGGTAAACCCTTCCCATTCCTCCTCTTATTGCCTTCATCCAAGAGTTCTGTCTTACTGAGACACAGAGAGAGAGTGAGTGGGGGTGGGGTGTGGGGTAAACCCTTCCCATCTCCTATGTGGGCGTGTCCAGGTTGGGGTGTAAACCAGTGAGTGGGGGTGGGGTGTGGGGTAAACCCTTCCCATTCCTCCTCTTATTGCCTTCATCCAAGAGTTCTGTCTTACTGAGACACAGAGAGAGAGTGAGTGGGGGTGTTCCTCTAGCCTTTCCCTTCTACACTTGGCGCCCTCCTCTCTATGAGAATGGATAAGAGCCACGCATGTATGTAAGATATAATGTGCGTTTAGAGTTCTATAGTGATTTATGGAGACGAGGGGTGTGGTCTCGAGACTCATACAGCACGAGGCGCAGCCGAGTGCTGTATGGATCTCGAGACCACAACCCGAGTTCCCATAAGTCATGTATAGAACGATAGGACGCACATTATGTGTTTTATTGTGACTCTGTAGCAGTCGTCGACCTCTAGCGAGAGAAATATGACTGCATAGCCTACTACCCTTGCGCACGTGCGCACTCGCTGGCTTCTCGTGCGAGTTCTCTGTTCTCCAGGCTACGGTAATCGAACAAGGTCGTGATGGTGGCTCTTTCTCCCTCAGAGAAACTCGTTTCATGGGTCACTGGGCCGTTTGACCGGTCGGTGTGCCGCGGCCGCAGTCTCGCTTGCCACTGAGCTAAATGAAGGGGTGTGGTCGCCTCAGCCATCCCTCGCCTCTACAGAGTCTACAGAACAGTCATCCCTCGCCTCTAAAGCCTCTACAGAACCGTTTTTGTCTACACTATGGGTACGATACTGATGCTAGTTCAATATTGGTCATATTGAACGCGTCTACAATATGGGAAATAGGAGTACGCGCGGCAGCTTTGATCCGCCCACGCAAGTCACAATAAATGGGGTTATAGTTTGTCAAGGATTGAAGGAATTACATTTCATAAATGAAAAAAAGTGATAAAAGCAACTGTTGTCTGACATTCCGTATGTGAGTATGATTCTGCGACATACATTTTATGCTATAACCAAAGATACATATAAGGATGGTGCTGGATTTTTGCCACAGCTCCTTTTTACCTTTCGCATGGTTTAAACAAATATTTACTATGGTCGCAATCGAGTTCGTAGAATGCAGGTACCGTGAATTTGAAGTGTTCTTAGGATCACTCAAGTACGATAGTACTTAGTATATTGTAGGGACGGGCATCGTACTTAGCATTTTATAGAGGTGTGGGCTATGATAGGGAGTTTTGTTCATCATCATATTCTTCTCCTCCTTCGACACCCATAAGCATGCGGGAGTTGATACACGCCCTTCGCTGCGACGACTTGTGCCATCAAGATACACTGAGCAAGCGGACCCGCTCGAGGTAAGCCTGTTCTAATTAGCATATTGCCTTTTTCGCTCGTGTTTCATGCCGTTACTCCCCAACGCAGCAGCTTCAGAGAAAACCCCACATATTTTTCGACCTTTATACACTGAATACGTGGTATCGCTTGTGGAGCAATTGATTGCCCGTGAAGCAATTGATTGCCCGTGAAGTGAGCGGACAGACAGACAGACGACACATTCGTACCAAGTTTAATCTTCGTACATGCTACCGTTAACAAGCTTGAGGAGTTTCAAAGAAGAGTGCCTTAGGCTTTTTGTAACAAAATTTTGTCGCCATGGAAACGATGTAAAGCACATGTGTACAAAGTTCTCCATGTGTGCTACGTTAGCAAGTGAGAGGAGTGAAGAAATTTAAAGAAAAGTGCCTGAGGCTATTTGTTGTTGTTAACAAACATACATTGTTGTGTTTTTGATATTGGTAACTGAAAAGCATTGTGTATACTTTGCATAGCTCTTAGCTGCATTAACACATGTGTCCCTTTTGTTGTTGTATACTGTTTAGAAACAAGAATGATGTTGCACATCCTGTCACGGATATCTACATACATTCGTACAAAATTTCATGGCCTTATCTATTTTAGTTTTTGTTTCCATGATGTCCTCACATTGTTTAAAAACAACACATAGCCTCTTTTTACTTCTTCACTCCTTAAACTCCTTACAGGAAATGATCGCTCACCACCATACGTACGGGAAATGATCGCTCACCCTCAACCTCGGCCTTCTTCCTTGGATTTTCATCATCACTGCTGTACAGAAGCCCATTCTCTGAGCTGATGACCTGAGACACTTTGGACTTCTGGTCAACATGAAGCAACACCAGCTGGTCGACACAGCCACTCACTTCCACATCCAGGGCATACTCTCTTCTGATTCTTCTCCTTGTCTGTCCATCTGTCCGAAGCACACCAACGACCCCTCCTACCACAGCCTACTGTTGGAGTTTCCAGCCTTCACCCAAGTCTGCTCTCCAGACAAACCATGCCCAGAGAGCAATCGTGCACGACGTCACTCACCACATTGAGACAACGGGAGCCTCCTCGGACGTTTGCGTGCAACAAAGCAGGAGTTCAAGCACGTGCTACAGCTGGGGATCGTACGTCCTTCATCCAGTGCATGGTCCTCCCCTCTGCACATGGTATCGAAGAAGACTGCTGGGGATTTGTGCCCCTGTTGGGATTACCGGGCCCTGAACCGAGTTACTGTACCTGATCGTTACCCTGTCCCCCACATCGATGATTTCTCCTCGTCCTTACCAGCCACTTCTCTAAACTGTACCTCGTACGTGCCTATCATAAAATCCCGGTAGACCCTGCAGATGTCCCAAAAACCACTCTCACAACCCAATTCGGTTTATTTGAGTTCGTGCAGATGCCCTGCGGCTTGAAGAACGCAGCTAAAATATTTCTGCAATTCATGGACCAAGTCCTCCGGGGTCTACTTTTTGCCTATGCATACGTTGATGATGTCCTCATTGCCAGCTTGCTACTCCTAAAGAGCACCTCAGACACCTACGAATAGTTTTCGACCTTTTTGCCACGCATGGCATCATTATAAACCCCAACAAGTGCCTCTTCAGCGTTGTCGAACTGGATTTCCTCGGACATCACACTGACCAACACGGCATCTACCAGAAAAAGTCAAGACTATCCGCGCCCCAAATTTCAATGTCAATCGCACCAGTTCGTCGGCCTGGTGCAAGTATTACCATTCGTTTCTCCTCCACTGCGCTGACATGATGCGACCCCTACATACTCTTCTTACCTCATCGTCACCAAAGTCCCAGTCTCTGCTTTGGAATGCCACAACCCTATGCTCCTTAGCGAATGCGTCTCCTCGCCTACCCCACAGCTGATGCCCCCACATGTCTCATGACTGATGCATCAGACACTGCTGTGGAGCAGTCTTGCAGCAGTACGTCGATGGTATGTGGCATCCCATTTCCAAAAAATGAGACACGCTACAGTACCTTTGATAGGAACAGGCTGTGTAGAGGGTTGAAAACCGTGCGATGGCATTTCCCTGGGGCATTGTGCGCCGGTGGAGGTGTCACAGTAGAGTGGGTCGCCAACGATTGGCAGGGGAATAGGCTCCACAACCGGTGGAGATGATGGAGAGGACTGTAGTGCCTGCATCTGTGGGTCAGTCACTTGTGACTTGGCCATTGGGCAGTGACGAGTTGCTCTGATACCTGGGTATGAGAGGCTGTGTAGAGGGGTGAACACAGTGCAACAAGCTCGTCGCGGCCCTGTTTGTGTGGCCTGGGGTCAATGCCGATGTCTGCCGATAGACCATACCCAGTGCTTGGATGTACAGACAAGCAGTTCACCGTGGATATTTCCGGTCGTAAGGATACAGTATCAGTTGATCACCTTTAACTGGCCCATCTCGACAATGATAGCCCCATCCCAGGACCAATCACT